TGTATTTCTGTGGAAACACTCATTTGCATAGGTGTAGGTTTTTTTTAAAGACCTTCATACTATAAATTGATGCATAAATGCAGAAATTAGCGCATAAAAATTCACTAGAATGCAGGAAATTAAGTGTTTGACCCTCAAACCCATTGTTTCATATATGCCCCCCAGTGTTGAAACAAAATGTACAACCTTGCTGATTTGCATCTCTGTGTGTATGTTTTTGGGAGGTGTGTGTTTTGTATCATATATTTCTGTCTTTGTTTGCAAAAAAGTTTCCTGTATTTGAGTGAATAAGCGCTTGCACAGGCTTTGTGAATTATTTAGAGGCATAATCGCCTCCAGTGTAAGCAGAGCTCGTAGCACGGCCTTTAGAGGTGTATTGATGTTTTATGACACGCTTTGAATCATCCCCCTCATCTACCCCTCATCCTGCAGCAGCGCGCTCCCTCTCTCTCACCCTGTCTGTCCGCTGCATCTCTCGTGCACTCTCTCTTTCTTCTTCTTGTTCCTCTGCTATCTTTTCACCCTCCCTTACTCTCTTGTACTACATGTTGTGTGTGTATGTGTGTGTGTGTGTCTGTTTTATGGTCCCTGGCCATAATTCCCCAGCAGTGGAATTTAGATGCAGTACAGAGGAGCGGCAGGGTTTCCATGAATTATGAACATGATAGATATGAGGCTTTCCAACTAACATTACAAACCAGCGCTTCCTACCCGTTCTCCTCCTTTCCTCTTATTGTCCTGCTGTTTTCGACCTCTTGCTCTGTTCCCTCCCCTCATTACCATTGCTTGTTCTTCTGCTGCTTGAATTTTTCTTATGCTTACTTTTCTCACCGCCCCCTCTTTTATGTTCTTCCTCTTATGCATACTTTTAAAATTCTGCTTCTTTATAAGCTCTTTGTGAAAGTTTCTTCGGTGAAAGACAAAGAGGTAGTTTGGATTTCATGTCTTCAAGTTTTGAGATGTCTGTTTTGAAAAACAACAAGTTGTGTGTCCACATAGAGAGCAGGTCCTTGTCCATGGAGATCGCTATATTGCACTGCCATGTTTCTACAGTAGCCCAGAATGGAGAGACCAAACACTGGTCCTAGATAGGGCCATTCATGTTTGTGTGTCAGCTGGCAGTCCCTCCATGACAAGCAGTGTCAGAAAAGCAAAGATTATTTAACGTGAAACTGCTTTAGTCAGTGTTTTTACCCATTTAAATCACCCGATCAGATTGTTTTGGAGAGGAAGAGTCCTCTGTGGATAATTTGGCTCCTGGTAAAAACCTCCAGAATGTCTAGATCTTATCAGAGGAAAATGGTGAGCACACATTGGCAGGCACTGGGCAAGGTGCTGGTTTGCGATGTGCAGAACAGCATAGGAGAAAGACTGATTTGTAGCATGACACTGCTTTATTCAGTGTTTTTACTGGTTTTAACCATGTGCTGCATTTGTTTCGGAGAGGAAGAGACCTCTGTGGATAATTCAGCTCATGGTATAAACCTCCTGAACGATGAACACCAAAGAAATTCTAACTGGGACGAGGTTGAGCGGATTGCAATCTGCAGTCCTCACCACTAGATGCCCTTATCCATCCATCCATTTCTATCCACTTATTTGGGGCCAGCAGGCCAAGCAAAGCCCCCCAGACGTCTCTCAACACTTTCCAGCTCCTCCAGGGGGACCCTGAGGCTTTCCCAGGCCAGAGGAGATATATAATCCCTCCAGCGTGTGCTAGGTCTACCAGGGGTCTTCTACCAGTGGGCCATGCCCGAGACACCTCCAGCAGGAGACGCCCAGGAGGCATCCTTATCAGATGCCTGAACCACCTCAACTGACCCCTTTGAACGTAAAGGAGCAGCGGCTCAACTCCGAGCTCCCTCCGGATGTCCAAGCTCCTCACCCTATCTCTAAGGCTGAGCCCAGTCATCCCACTGAGGAAACTCATTTCAGCTGAACCCCCTTAAATCTTACAGACTAAACCTTTGAAAAGACAGTTCAGTTTTCATCTTGGAAACATAGAAACAAAAGAAAAACTTAACTACCATTGCTACCATTTTACAGGGGGAACCAATCACATCTAATAATGACCTCAATGCCCAGAAAAAGTAAGTGGACCTTTAATTAACAAGAATTCAAAATACAAAATGTTAATTCAATAAAGACTGAGTTTTCCAGCCATGACAAGTTTTCCAGCCATGACAAGTTTTCCAGCCATGACAAGCCATGACAAGGGTATATCAAATAATACCCATCCACCTGCACACTTGACTTCTAATTACGTTCATATGAAGCATAAAGCAGCGTTTTTGACTAATAAACAAATACTGCTGCTAAATTCTGTAATGATACTGTGTTCTGTCACACAACATATGCAGAACATTGCTTGCCAATACTTTAGTCCTGTGTTTTGGCATTCCTGAGACCCCTCACCATCAATATGGACATCGCCCAGATGGCCAAAAATAAACTCAGGCAGGCTAAGCTTTGAGAGGTTGGTAGCACATTACGAAGGAGCACTTCCCTCCAACTATAGACAAAAGTACAACAAGCATCACCAACAGACACTTGCTCCCATTAACAATAACAGCAGATGTTATATTTGCTGAGACAAAGTGTCCCTGTCATCAGAGCGCTCCCAAATGAAACACATGACTTTGTGTCCTTGATTAACAAAACTCAGAGATGCATAGCAGCCATTGAGAAAATGTGACACACACACACATACACAGAGGCTTATCGCTGTGTCGGAGTTGTGGAGAAATAGCCATCCTCCACAAATCTCTCCCCCTCTGTCTCACACACACATGACTGCATGCAGGAACCATTACCGCCCAGTGTGTGTAATCTTGTGATTTCTAAAAGGAGAAAAGGCCATGCCTCCTGTCTGAATTTTTCATTCCAGACCCTCTCTGTCTCTGTATAACAACTAATAAATAAGCAATGAATCCTGAGGACATAAAGCAGAATGGACTCGATTTTATGTCCTCCACACCCCCAACACCAACCCCCCTCCCCTGGATACACACTTTATCTGCTTTCTGTCTCACTCTCCTCTTGTCTCTTTGAACCCTGTCTCTCTCTCCGACTCATGCTCTCTGTCTCTCCCTCTCTCTGTTTTAAGAGCTAAATCTCAAGCTGCGTTCACTTCCTTTGGTACTTGCCCAGTGAACTGTACTGGCCCCAATATGAGGTGGAAAAGTGTGTGCGTCTGTGTGTGTGTTTGTGGATTGAACGTGACCTTTTGCTTTTTTAATCCACCACCGCTTTAGATTTAGAGCACTGATGATGCCTTTGAATCAGTCTGAGAGGCACCTTGGTTGATGGGCAGCTCAGAGTAGCCTCGGTTTGGATTAGCACACGAATATATGCCACAACATCACTCTCAGATTATGCAACATTTTTCTCAGTCAACAAGTGAGTGGGTTGTTTCAGACAGAGAGAGAAAGGGAGGGAGAATATGTATGTTATGAGAGGGAATCAGCAGAGAAATGAGATGAAGGCAGATACAGAGTCAGCTCAAAGTGGTGCTTTTACACCATCTGGTGGTCCAATAAGGATGGTGGCTCTGTTGGCACATCCCAGCCAAACACTGGTACTTACTTAGCTTAACCTAAAGGAATTTTGGCTAAATAACCCATTTCATGTCAGTAAGTTTAACGTTAAGATAAATGTTTTTTTTCCTTATATCAAATTACAATGAACCTCAATTGAAAGGGTCACAAATGATGTTATGGTGTGATTTATTTTGGCATCAAATAGGCTACAATTCTCCAAATGGGACCCCTTGATGATTTAGCACAGGTATCACCTATAGCCTACATACCCAAGCAATTTAATAGCTTGTGACCTCTGCATGCATATATCATAAATCATGCAAGCAGTGCATATATCATTTATCTCAACAGTCATTTTTTGAATTATCCTTTGAGCTCACAATTAATAAATCATAATACACAGATGGAGCTGTCAGTTTGAATGACATTGGTGTGTAGGACCCACTCACCTGTCTTACACAGAATACTTGAGGCAAAGGGATAGCACAAATGGTGTTTTGTTGGTGATATTTTAAATGAGACAAAGAATAGAGTGATTTTTTAAAAGATTTTTGGAGTGTTTTTGCCTTTATTGATAGGACAGCCAAGATAGACAGGAAAGGTGGCAGAGAGAGCAGGGGTGACATGCAGCAAAGGGCCATAGGTTGCTGGTCCCAAGCCGCTGCAGAGGACGTGGCACACACTCTACCAGGTGAGCAAGAGGCTGCTAAAGAATAAAATGACTTTGAAAGAAATTTGAAAGTCCAACAGAGTTGAAATATCCACAGTTTCTGGCTATGATAAATGTAATAATTTTGGTGAATATTCTTTATAAGGAAAACATGCCTTTCAAACCCACTTCCAGGTTTTGGGGTTCTTAGGTTATTGAAATAAATAAATAATAATAATAATGTGTGTATATATATATATATATATATATATATATATATGTGTGTGTGTGTGTGTGTGTGNCCGACTACACAGTTTATACTGATTGTGCCTGTTTGTGGTTTGTGTGTGTGTGTGTGTGTGTGTGTGTGTGTGTGTGTGTGTGTGTGTGTGTGATGTGTGTGTGTGTGTGTGTGTGTGTGTGTGTGTGTGTGTGTGACCATTTAAAGCTGTGCCAAATTTAAAAAAAAAACATAATTCCCTCCCCAGTGCTTAAAATAGGTATCATGTGAAGTGCCTCCCCCGTTTTGCACCACTCCTCCCCTCTCACAAGTAACGAGCTTAGTGCTTTACATACACATTGATCTAGTCCATTTAAATGTTACCCTAATGTTGACTGCTGAATATCTAATATATATAAAGTCAGTCTTTAAGACTTGATGCGAGAACTATTACACTCCTGTCAAAATGAGAAGAGTTCTGAGTCATTGCTGTTACCAGGGTAACCAAACTATCTACGTCCCGCCTCTCGGTGTCAAGAGCCAATCCGGTTTAAGCATGTGTCTGTTTCCCATCATCAGCCGCGAACTACGAACTTCCTACTTTCTCAGTGTTTGTGTACTGCTCTTGCTGCATGAAATAGACCATAACACACGCATTTTCCTAACATTTACGGCAGTATGAACACGGAGCAGTCGGCTGAAAACCACTGTAGTGAAAATAAGTGTTCAGTTTCGACGCCGGAAGGGAACGACTTGAAGACAGGAGCATTGAAAAGGTAGGTTGTTAGCACACTGACGCCTGCTACCTAGCTAGCTAGGTAACGTTATATCGTATGCTAGCTATTTTCAGGCATAACCGTTACCGCTGAGCTAGCTGTAATTACTTTAAAACAGTGTTTATCATAGCCGTGTTCCACTGTCCCCCTGTGTGGCTGTGATATTGCCTTAAGACCCTCCTGAGACAATATGTGCCGTCACTGTAATGTTAATTTTGTTATATTGCTGTTGCTTATTTACAGAAAGACCTCTGATAAAAGCAGACATCTTTCTGGGATAAACTCAGACGTCAGCTGACGTGGCAGCTTATTTGACAGGGTTTCATGTGGGGAATAAGCATACATGAATGCCATCTGTTTGCTGGCCAATGATCACTGACAAGAAGTCGAAGTTTACCCATATTTTGTTGACTTCAAAATCAGCTATCCTCTGTTTATAAAATATGACCACCTACATTTTTACTCTCATAAGATTCCTCTGGCTATCCCACCCAATCTGTTCAAGTTGTCAGATTTGCATTCTTAATTAATTTGTTAAATAGAAAAGCTATTTGCAGACGTTGTCAAATGGAAAATGAATTCATTTTTACCACAACAGTGTGACTGAAAACAAAAGATGAGACATGTCCTTGCATTTGGCATCTGTGTTATCCTTGATAACTAGCATATTTTAGCGATGGCAAGGAAATTAATAAAAACTGTTCACAGGGGTAATTTAATTAACTTAAGATGTTAGTGATGCAATGTGCTTGTCAACCTGACTTTTTCTTTGTATGTACACACACTGGCAATAGAGCTTTTGCTATTACTGTCTATTCAGAAGTACTTTTCAAGATTTAATACTGAGTGATCATGTAACCAAACACCTAAAAGAAATATTATCTTTATGCATTTTCTCATCAAGTGAAACATAGCCTGGCTTTAACAATAGTTTCCCTTCCCTCTCTCCCCAGAACTCCATTCTCAAGGTTTAAGAGAGTGCACTCCAACTTCAAATCACCTGTACGTAAACCCCCTCTTTGTCTGTAATACACACATAAAGTGCCACATGTGCATCCTAGTATGGTTGTCTGTTTTGCACCTGACAGCTTCAAGTAACCGAGAGTGCTAAAGTTAGCCCTGCTGAGGAGGTGGCAGAGCTAGAGAGGAGGAGAGAGCAGTTGGACACAGAGATAGCACAGCTGGAGGCTGAGTGAGTACAGCTGTGTGTGTTTGTCTGCCTGTACTTTTATCTTCAAGGTCCAACTTGAGTGGTTTGGGTTATTGTTAAGCATGAAGTGTTGGTGGTTCAGTTGAGTGCTAGAGGGCAGGGAATCAAAAGTGTTGATCCCCACAAATTATACCCTGAAATACCTATAATTCATGTGCACTTTTATGTGTGCTACTCTTGCTTTCACATAGTTTGCTTAATTTGATTTTTTGTATGTTTGTATTTGTGTGTTTGTGTATGAGCATTTGAACATATTTGCTTTTGTGTAAGACCACGTGTGTGTGTGTGTGTGTTTCTCCAGGGGATGCAGAGTAGAGGAGCTGGAGCGTCATATTGATATGCTGCATGAGTACAATGACATCAAAGACATTGGACAGTCACTCCTGGGCCGTATTGGTAAGAGAACATCTTGTTTGGACATTTAAATTCACCAGTTTTTAAGTAACATTTAAAGGTGCGTGTAGAATTTACAAGGCATAGGTTTGCTTTATTCACAGATTAACCCCACTGCAAGCTGTCACTCCTTTAGCTCAGTTCTTTTGATCAAATCACCACACAGTCACATGGAGACTGTATGAATGGGTCTAATGTTTCCTACAAAGAAAATGAGGTGTAGAAAATTTATGGTATGACAGCAACATGAACCACCAAGTATAATACTTGACTTGTCTACTGATTGTAGCAGCCCTCTGGTTAGCAACAGCCTTTTTTTGTATATATGACAGATAAAGTCCAGTTGCAGTTATTACTAGTGAGTTATTTTCAACTATTCCTTTGTGGGCTCTCCACACCAAATTAATGAGTGCTGCAAGATGACAGCTAACTAAAACTGCCAGTTGAATGAGTTGTCTGTCTGTCAGTGTGACTCATATTTTACACCTCTTTGCTCACTTATGATAAGAGAGTGTGAACCCTGAACAGACTAGATGAGACACACAATATGTCTTTTGTGGTGTGATTTGGAGCAAGGAAAACAAACTGTGCAAAAGTGTGATCACAACCTTAAAAACTACTCAAATTACTTAGATTAATATAGACACTCTTAAAAAAGATAATCAGTACATAGTTGCTGTTGTTGTCACAGTGTTGTTGTCACAGTGACCAAATACTTTGGTCCCAAGTTATAGCTGTGGACCCAGACCCAGGTTAAGTCTGAGTGACTACGTTTACATGCACAAAATATTATGTTTTTTGCCCTAACTCTGAAAAAGAAAATATTTCTACGGAACTGTTTACATGGCTTATGAAAATGAATATTCCACTGACATTCCCATGTACATGCAGCTGTGCCTACCTAGATTAACGTGCCCTAAAATGTTGTTTATAATGTCAAAGTATGGAAAAGTGGAACAGCTGTCACTTGTGCCAGGCTTTTTTCAAAGTCTGTGCAAACACAGCCTCCCTCTTTCATTCCTTTAACCACCTTCATGAAAAGGTTGCATCGCGATATTTGCACATATCCAAAAACCTGTTGATATCCCTGTCTTTCATGATGTGTAAAAGTAGCTGTGGTTCTCCTTATGCCCAAAGAATGCTCCTAAAACCCGAATAATATCAGCATATTCCACGTCTTAATTGGAAACTGCTACGTTCGGAAAAAGGCCTAATTAGTAACATCAAAACGGAATATGCTGTTTACATGACTGGTATCAAATTTGATATATTATCATTTTTGGAATAATGGTGAATTATCAGTGTGCATGTAAACGGACGTGAGAGTAAACATGAGACAGAGGCAGCTGGAGAAAGAGAGACTTTGCACAGTCAGGCTCCAAAATAACATTATCTTCTGCCTCCTGCTTAGAAGTAGTGAATTTATAGCTCACAGAAACTTAATACGATACAGTCTATGCTTTGATATCTAGTGTCAGCAAAAAATGTTGTTGCCCTTTTCCAATCATTAGTCTTTAGCATAGTTAGCACACATTAGCTTGGAGGGCTTACCTCGCTTGTTTAATACAATACATGAATGGCGCTGTCACCCTGAATGCCTCCTGGAACCCTGTGCAAACTCTTAAACTCTATATGGGAGAAAGGGAACGAATAGTTGAACATTTTAAACAGCCAAATCTGATTCGACTGACATGATTCTAAGTCAGGTACAGCCCTTAAAAGTTTAAAATTATGTCTGTGGAGAATTCTCTATTCTTTACATCGTAGCAGCTGTAACAAATCACAATTTCCCCTTGGGGATCAATAAAATATATTCTGATTCTGATATTATCAAAGGAACATTTGAATAAGCTTTTATCTGATCAGATAATGTGATTGTAGCATGTAGGAAAAGTGTAAACTGCAAGTTATCAGCTTGGCCAAGTCTCATTCAGATTCAATTTGTACAGATAGCCACCAGAGGGCAACAGAGCAATGTCTCTGATTCTTTCTGAGGCCTGAATCAAAAGCCAAGGCCAGTCTTAACTTAAGACAGTATTTAATCCCACATCACTGATTATGTCTGCATTTTTATTCCATGGGCCTGCCTATAAAACATTCATTCCATTACATTAAGAGAAAAATGTTACTGGCTGAAGCATCTCTCTTCTGTGGGGCAGCTTGGTTATATTTAGGTTCCCATCTCATCCAGTTTAAGTAATCGAGCCCCTGCAAGTTCTTACTTTTCTGTGTCCAGTCACATGTTCGCTGATCAGATCATAGCTAGCACATCACTGTACTTACTCTGTGACATCAGACACTTGTGATGGCATTTCACCTTCTCCCTACATTTGTCATAATTCCTGTAATGCTGCGTAATACTGTGTAAATCCATCTGTCTGACTCTAAGTCTGGGCACACACTAGTTTACGAAGGTAGGCTGCAATGAGTGTTGTAAGTTTGTGTCTTTGAAACATATTTGTGTACATGTTATGCAACTCTATGAGGGTCAGGAAGTGTGGAGAAGTTCACACCTTTCAAACCGTTAGGAGGGTTTTGGTGAATCACTGCCAAGTCACATTGTGGTCTGTGCGTAGCATGTGTCATAACAAACATGACTTTTTACCTACTTTTACATGCACATTGTTGAGGGCGTAGGGTCAAACACAGTCTGTACATTCCCAGATTTTTTTTAGTGATCATTGCGAAATAAGTACACAGGAAGAACACAAATAGTTCTACGTTCCTCGAAAGCTCTAATGTCACTTATGTTCTGCTTCTGTGTCTGTTTGTGTAGAAAAACTGGGCGATCTCATATTAAATATATATTGTGAGTTAAAGCTTGCTATCTCTTTAAATTCTCTGTCAGTACAGTACAGTGGAGAGTCAGGATGATAATGACCTCTTAGTGAATGGAGATGGCGTTTCCCCTCTGACACAATGGCAGTCTTTCACATCACTTACACACATACACCATTAACAATCTCTGTCTGTCGTGCAGGCACATGCATACACTCACACACGCTGTCAAAGACAAACACATGCTATCATCCTGTCTTTCGCCCCGTACTGCTTTCTCTTTCACTTTTTCTCAAATACACACACAAACACAGACTTTCACAAAGAGTCTACACTTAAACACTGAGTTGCTGTTGTATGCTGAAGGAGGAGATGGGTGGGCTGAAGAGAGAGGAGACATGAGGAGATGCCCTGCAATACCCTTTAGAGACAATGTCCCTTTGTGTCTTACTATGTCTGTCCGTCTGACTGTAGGTCAGGATTAAGGCCATTGTCACATCTCTCAAGAAATGTATTTTCTACACCTATATAATCTTAGAAATGTTCACATTTTTCACACCTTGAAAGCTATTTATATAATCCAGGAGTTTTTTCTTAATGAGAAATTTGCCCAGAAACAGGTTATTCACATCAATATAACTGCACTCAGTGAAGGAAAACAGCATAAATGAGAATAATTTTGGAAGGAAACTCATTCAAATCATTGGACTGTAACCCATTGGAGCGTTGGGTGTTGCCCTGCAGGCATTAGAGTGACAGACAAAACATTAAACAGTGAACCTCTCTGTTGCTTCAGGCCTTCAAACCTATATCCCAACTGCACTGCATGTACACACCCTTACCAACGAATAGAATTTGCATAAGGTAAAAAACCAGTTGCCTCACTTTATGGTTAATCCAATGCTTATTTTTGTCAAGGCTGGTAAGAAGATCAGGTAAAGATATCCGAGGGACACAGTTCTTTATCAAAAGAAATCGTTGCTTCTTTTCCAAGGTGATGTTTTGCTTGCTTTTTCTCCTGCTTCACACCACTTCTGTTTTAATATTTTGTGTCTTTGACTTTGACAAAAAAACTGTAAAACTATTAACACGCCGTGTCATTATTTATTTTACATTTATAGATTACAATTAATATTGGTTGATCTAAGAGTCCAAACATTAAAGCTGGAGTTGGCAGAAATCTGGAAAACACACAAAACGTCAGAATCTGAAAATATACCCTCCTCTTGCAGCTCCTTCTCGCTCTCCTAAGCCCCTCCCACCAGACGACCACAGACATATGAACACGCTTCATACAGTAACCCGGGGTTTCCTATACATTCATTTATTCAATCTTATTTCATTGTAGAGTTGCATGCAGTGCAGTCCCTTAGCCCTCCTTGCCCCACTCTCTCTCTCTGTTTATCAGGCCACAAATGAGACAAGTATTAGCTAGCCAGCCACCCCACGGTCCCTTCACCTCACTCCCCTACTATGGATTTCTTTGCCAGTTGGAGAGCCGACAGCAGCACCAGAAACCAACCTTTGATTGGTGGTTGTAGCTACTCAATTTCAGCCAGTACAAACCTCCCAGCTGCTGGGTGTCACAGTGGGCTGGTGGCCGGCAGCAGTGCCGGGTCAAACCTGTGTAATGGCAGCAAAAGAAAGTTTGCTGATCCAGCAGGGAGTCGGTCTGTCCGGGTCCCTGTAGGTTGGGGTTTGCATTAGCTGGATTTGGGTTGCTGCGGCCACTGTCTGGGGTTCTCCTCCTGGCGAGGTGGTCTGTGTCAGTGGGGAGTGAGGTGTAGGACACACTGTGATTCGAGGCTCTCGCTAAAGTTAGCTACATAACTGTGAACTTGAAGCCGCAGCTGACTCGGGTTAGCAGAAGGCGGAACTATTAGCAACACTTTCTTTTCATCTCTGAAACAATTTGCCAATACTGACATGCGTTTTATTTTGTTTTATATCAGACTCTCTTTTTGATAAGTTTGTCTTCCTTTCATGGGTTGCTTTGCAGTATCGGCAGTTGTTGCTAATGCTGGAATAGCAACTCTCTCTGCAGAATTTTCCGCCATTGAATTGGGCTTTCACCATCTGAAGAGACATGCATGGGCGTCTGCATTTGTAAAACAGCCAATACCAGTGCCCTCTCTCTGAAATTACCTATGACTGGCTAAAATCTTCCGTAACAGACAAGATTTCTAAAGCCTAAAAACAAAGTCAAGAAGAGGTGCATAAGTCTAGTGTTCTTTCAGTCCACTTGAATTACAGTATGCTCAAAGTTCATTGCCTAGTGATGCCAACATTAAACTGCCTACCCCAGCTTTAACTGACATATTTTGTTATTGTCAGCCCTGGTAACATCCTATCAGTGCAACACATATGCATGCAACAGATGCTACAGCTTTATCAGCCCTGTACTATATTTAAGAAAACACACTACAAGCCAACTGGTCTTTGTATCAGACTCAGCCCGACACAGCTCAGCACAGCTTGGTTCTGCATGATGTAAAAGAGGCAGAGATCTGGCTTATGTGGCTACTTTAACAGATCTTTTCGAGTATATAAGATATTATACTTTAGCGGGGTTAATGTGTGAGAAACTTTTGCAATTAAAATGGAGATGGGCCAAGATATTTTAAATCACAAATTTAAAGCTGATGTAAACAAACTTTTCACCAAGTACATGCAAGTCTGTCTGGTACTGCGATGCTAGGTCTGTTCAGTGTTTTAAGGATTGTTTGAAAAGTAGACCAGAGGGAGCTGACCCTGTAATCTGCTGAAGGGGCCTAACCCAGACTTTGCTATGTCTTGCAGCTGCTGTGAGGGGGACCACCACACGAGATCTCTACAGCCACTTTGGTCTGGAACTGGATGACTGAAAAAAATGAAATTACAGCGGTGAGAGCGGTTTCTCAGCCGAAGGGGAGAGGGGCTTACAGAGAAAAGACCAAAGAACTTTTAGATAGGAGAATGGATTTGGACTAAAGATGTGACTGGAGGTGGAGCAGAGGTTTGCCAATTTTCTCTGTGATTTAGTTTCCACCTCCTTACAGAGAGAGATTTCAACAGTGGGATTGTGCATGATAAGAGGAGAATGGCGCTGGCCCTGCAGACAGGCATGATATTTCAGAAGCCCTCTGCAAAACCATTAACTTAACGCTTTGTTTTGTTTTGACAATTGAGCTCATGTTAATTTAATTTGGATGAGGGTATGCATGATGCCTGCAAGAATGTAAATTACTTTTCTGACTTTGGTTTGTTAGTTACAGAAAAGGGGGAATGCTAGACTGTTAACCAAAAGTGTAAAGTATAGTGTACGAGCTCCTAGTATAATATGCTTTGTATGCTGACAATAACATGTAATAAATAACCACAGACAGTATGTTCCCATTTGCATTGTACCTCTAAGTCCGCTATGGAAACTCAAGCGCTACAGATACATCATGGTTATAGCGGGTCCTCTTCTAACTAGTCCACCACGTTCCTGCAGTAGCCCAGAACAAACAGACCAAACACTGGCTCTAGATAGGGCCATTTACATTTTTTAATTGGCCACTGTAGTTCTGGTACACACTTGGCACAGTTTCAGTTGAGCCACCTCAACGCTAAATGCCATTAAATCCTACGCACTGAACTTTAAAAGGAATACCTAACCCACAAAATGACCATTTGTAAATCAGTTAGTCATGCTGTGTTAAAGCCACTAGTATTGGAGTGTGGATTTAAAGATAGCACAGGTAAGTTTCACTTTCAGTTCAGTTTTAAATAGTAAGGTTTCCGCAAAAATGTGTGGTCTGACAAGCTTTCGGAGTAAGCATGAAGCCCATACTGTCACTCCCTGCACTCCTTGAAGAAATGTTATCATATTTTAGGGGAAATGATTCCAGAGAGAAGCAGACAGAGGAGTCTAGAGTCTGTGTTTGAAGGATATATCCAGGATGTCAAACTGACTCAGCAGCAACAACAGGTTAAAAGGACAAAGATAGATAGAAGCTAAAGCCGAACTATAGGCTACAGATCACAGTGTAAAAGTGAACCACCACATCACTGCTGATTGACACACAAGACAATGAATATAAAGGGAAACTTCACTGATATTGAACCAGCTGCGTGGCATCACAGTGTGTGCAGATGAACAGTGTTTGGCTTCGCCCCCGTGCCGCTGCCAGCACCTGGACCTCGGTCGCTGTACAGGCAGGGATCTCCTGTGGAAGTCAAACAACGTTCATCTGCACACACTGTGATGACACACATCTGGTTGGATATCAGCAAAGTTTCCCTGCTTCACTGGTTCCTGTACAACAGGGTCGGTCTCTTTCACTGTTATAATCTTCAAAAATCAAAAGCAGCGTGTGTATACATTCAGTAGGCTATATGTTCAGTAGCTAGCTAGCTAACCCTACACTTTTCACGGTTTGGTTTTGGTTTTGGAACAGGGAAGAAACGTATATCTTTTTCTAACCTCTCCAGGTAACGAGTATCATTAATACACGACGTGCCCCAGGCACAACATTTAGCTCCAGATCCACAAAACCAGCCTGAAATGATTGCATTAGAGTCAATGGAGCACAGCTGTGTTGTTGTTGCAATAAATCAGTATGTTTGCCGTTTTCCATGGAGGCATACAAGAAAGACTATGTTTTCTTCACAAATTCCAGATAACACAGCAAGGCTAATTGAAAAACAAATGGTCATGTTGTGGTTCAAGTAAATCCATTTAAGAGAAAGATTTCAATTAATATGTTTAGTTTATTTGGATAGATTTTACTTGTAAAACTAATCTGTTTTATGAACATATGACACATTAATTTGCAAACATCCCCCTCAAGATCACATTATCACCACCCACTTTTAAAAAAAAAAATAATAGTGGAGGAAAAAGGATATTAGGCAACTGTCACACTCATTTACAGTTTCCTGCCTGTCTTCACTGTACCATGTAAAAGTTTAACTAAAAAGACAGGGTTGGGTACCTGCTTCCTGTATTTAAAAAACAATTCCCAAAGCTGCTCTGCTTCTCTGAACTGTTCATGATATGTACTTAACAGAAAACACAGACTAGCAGAATAATACACTGGGCGTGCCCTTATCTGTCTAAGAACCACTGATAATGTGTCTTTGCGGACTGATAGCGGCAGAAGAGCTTCACAGCCCTGATGATGCCCTGTTTGACTGTGTGTGTGTGTTTTAATGGGTGTCTGTTGCCTTCATCTGCCATTTGCAGGTCAAAGCTCATACGTTTTACTTATCATAGTCTTTGAATCACCTATCAGCCATTTACCATCTCACATACCGGGGTCAGTGTAGGATACCGTCTGTTCATGTACCATTTAAAACCAGATGATAACTGTCTATCAGTGTAAACCTTGATGTTTATCTGATAAGTCTGGTATTTTTGCAGATGGAGTCAAGTATTTCAAAACAGGTGACACCTAACATATTTTGTAGTTTAGAAACAAGAGTGTCACCATTAATTTGGGCTCTGTAGACCACTGGGGCAGTGACCTCTGTTAACCTGTTGACCCGCAGCACTTTGTTATGGTACATGTTGCAATCCTTTCTGATGATGCAATGTGTTTCATGACATGTCACATTGCTGTAATGAACACTGTGTGAAATGTCAGCCTCCTTGTGTAATTCAAAAGTAGGCCTAAGTTATTCTATTGTGGCACCGTGGGCTCCATGACTCCTCCTGTCTTAAAGCTGCTGTAATCAGCAAGATAGAAAACTGTCAGTCATTTGGCCAGCAGGACTCATCATGTCTTCTTGAGGATGGATTACTGAACAGATTTACTGGGCACAGGCCCAGGGGCCCATAGTGTCACCTGCAAAATGTCACTCAAATTAACAAGTACCCAACCAGGAAGGAACTCAAAATGCCACAAAAAGACCAGAAAGAGATGCAAAATAACCAGAAAGACACAAAAAAATACCAAAAAAAAAGACATAATACCTTAAAGGGACATAAAATGACTACAGAGAGACACAAAACTACCACATACTAAATTACCAGAGCAACACAAAACCACAAAAAGATGCATTAAGACACACAAACAAAAAAACAAAAAAAAGAGGCAAAACCACCACAAAGTAAGTGTTTCTTTCTCCTTTGTAGGAGAGATGGTGAGGCCTTTTTCATATCCATGCCCAGGGGCCCCATTGTCTTATAATCCCCCCATGGTTGTATCTATTTGGAACAAATGTTTTACAGCCACTCACAATTCCCATACGTGCTTACACGCAAGAGTACCGCCGTTGTGGCACGCAGGAGTTCCCGAGCGCCCCTTTTTTTGGGGCGCGACGGCTGAGATACTCTGAGATAAACAAAATTCAACTTTTTAGAACACAGCAGCACACACCATATGTCATGTAACGAGGTTAAACCAATCACAGCTTTCCCTTCTTCCATAAATATCAGCCTGTGGTAAATATGAGGAAGAACTTGATCATTTTAGTGCAGGGCTACGCAGAGCTTTACATCTGTCCCATGGACAATATTTTTGGCCTAATACACACTTACAAAACAACGCCTGGAAGATCAGCTCTGCACTCACACTATTTACACCCGTACTTTCATGTGGTCAAAAGCAATCCGATTGCACTGCGATCACAGAAAACGCATGTTAATGAAAGGTGTAAAGGGGGTGAGACAGCCTTATATCCAGCCTTATAACATGATGCAGATAGGTTTGCCTTTTTTTGAGGACATATATGGCAAATGGCACTGTTTTTATTTTTTTCATCATTTTACTTTGAACACAGGTTTATTTCCATAGTGGCAATATGAATCACTTGCAAGGGCCTGCTCTTTCTACAGGCCCCTCCACCTTAGGGGCCCCTGTGCCTGCACTGTCTTCATTTACACCTCTGCTTCTTGTGTCATTCACTGTGTGTAAGCTACATCTACAGTGTTTCCACATGTTTTGATATAGGAACCCTGCAGGTTGTCCATTGAACAGATATGCTGGAGCTACTGGAGTCAAGCAACCAGCTGGTGGAGCGTTTGGTTGCAGTCTGACAGCTAAAGAGCTTTGGTTTTCATTGTAGATTTTAAGCCCACTGTGGTGATACATGTTAGTCGAGCCCTGGCTATTGTTCGGCACCCCTCACCTGACAGATGCGCACTTCAAGCACATCTTGTGGCAGGGCGCGCAGTGATGAATGAACGCAGCGAGGCCAACTCTCCAGGCAGAGGCAGGGCTCATTTTACACCACACGGTTCCGCATCAGGCTCTTGTCACTACCGGGTGGAAACCGCTATGCGCGCTGCCCTCGCTTTCTGTGAGCTAGCAGGCAGGCAGGGCCGCACCGCATTTCCTCCTCACCAGTGCCGCAAACCCCGCCCCTGCCGGATGGGATGTGTAACACACCGCTGTCCTCGATTGGCCCAGACACGTGTCCGTCAGTGCTTAGTGCCGCTCCACTGATGGACGGGACGCTGACGGCGGTGGGCGGGCGCAGCTAAGAAAATTATAAGGTCATTTGAATTACGCTTGCTAGCGAGCTTATCGGCTACAATGAACCTAGAAATGATATCAATGGTTGTGACAATGAGCGGATGATGATCGCGGGGTCAAAGTCGACGCTCACAGCCAGGCGTATTTGACTCCCCACCGGAGGGAGAGGAGCGGCAGCAGCAGCTCGTTGTGGCATTACAACAGGAGGGGATCCCGGTCGGTGCGTGTGTCTGTGTCTGCGTGCGTTTCTGTGAGCCTCTGTCAAGCCAAGCGAGCGGCGGCGAGGAGCGGCGAGGACGACCAGGATAGCCTGTAAGCCGATCAAAGCGGAGTCGCACACGACGAGTTTCACGTCTGGGATTTCTGCGCACCTACATGCTGTGACGGTGTGAGCGAGGTATGTACGCAAAAAATAATAATCATCATCCCCCAGTAGCCACAGCCCGAGATGACCGTGCGCCCCTGCGGTGCTCAGCTCCACAGATGGCTCTGGGTATTACAAGCTAGGAGAAAGGAGGAAAGAGCCCGGGTATGACTCCTATTGTCCTCTGGCAACCTTGTGCGCAAACGACCCTCTGACGTACCTCGAGAGGTGGCTCGACACTTTAATATCAGGCGGTGCGTGAGAGGTGATTCATGTGAACGTGGACTGCATATTCAGCATGCCTCTTCATCCTAAAAGAGGCTGCTGTCACACTGTCCATCCGCTTCCTTGCTAAGCCGATGCGCGCAATAACGCTGCGCATCCTGCTCCCCGGGCAGCGCCTGTTACCATGATAACCTACATCATGTTAGCGTGATTAATATTGCCCAATACGGATGGAAGGCCCTGTGTGGAAGCGCACATGGCACGATTATCGAGGCGTAGTCTAACCAGCGGTGGGTTGAGCCTCGCTATCGTTTCCACATCCACTACCGCAATATGATGCTACGCGCCTTTTAAATATCCGGGTGTAGCGGCAGCAGATGATGAAGCCTTTTTTCCCTCACTGTGAAGTGGCTGCTGCTTTCTTAACGTATGTCCTTTCACTGGCGTGTGACAAATCCCATCATGTCGATGCGATACATTCACAGTAATTGTCTGCCTGCGTTTTAAATAGCTGCAGACTTATTGGATTGCTATGATATCGCCATCATCACCATTGCAGGGAGACAGACTGAGTAGTAAATATCCAGTCAGCATCTTGGCTCTGGAACAAATAGGCAGACATCTTCCCTAAAAAAAAAAATGCCCGCTTGTTTTGAACTGACATCCCTGCAGTGTTTTTCTACACAGGCTCATGAATAGATAATACGTCATGTAAACCTATCGTTTACTGCTTTAAGGATCATCTTCCCAGCTATCAGGTGGCACTGAACACCAATGTCAGCACATGCTGTCCTCTGCTGCTCTCAGCTGTCACTTATAGACAGCCAGCTTTGAGTTAGGATTCCCTCAAGGTCTCTGTAGCCTTGGGTTTTATCCAGCTGCTGGAGAAAAGAAAACTCAGGGAGTGAGGAAATAGATTACACTCATGATGTTTTACATGTTTGTGACCACTTGATTTCATGCAGGATGACAACACACAGCACAAGACGGTGCAAGCTTGCAGTGTGGCTACCAGAGCTGAGTCAGTGGATTGAAATGGGCGCAGGATGTGTAAACAAAATCATAGTAGATCACATTCCTATGTGGTTGGCTTAAATACCATTGTGAAGATGTTAAACATCCGTTTTCTTTGCTTACGCTAACCACATGTAACCTTTCTCCTACTGAACTGATGTGTGTGATTCATCCCAGCCTTTTATCTGTATATATTTATATATGTGTGTGTGTTTGCATTCTTTCAGGATGATCCGTCTAGCGTGTTGCACAGCCCTGCTGTTCGTGCTGAGGCTGCTGGTGGGCTTGCCGTGGTACCAGGTTCTCCCGGCCATCCTGATCTTCTACCTGGGAAGTGGAGGATGGAGCTTCCTGCAGATTTTTGCCAAGACAGTCGGCAGAGACTTACAGTAAGTACAGAGAGGGTGTGTATGTGTTGGCGTGGTGCCAGTGGTAATGAAACCTAGAGAAGTCGTTGATTCATTACTTCGGCTTTTTTCATTTGCTGCTTTTCAACCAGTCAGGTCTTTTCTTTCTGTCTGTAGAGCGGTCTGTACGTGTTTTGACAGTGACAAACTATTTGTTTTTTGGCTCTACACGCCAGAACACTGGACCTGAAGTGAAACAATGACCATGAGGGGAAAGTGCTGACTTTCAGCTTTAATTTGAGCCTGTTAACATCCATATTGGGTGAGCAGTATCAGAACTGGAGCCCTATCATTGTCTCACGGCTCTGTTAAAATACAATCAGGGAAAGCATGCCTTTTATTGTATGTGAGAGCAGCTAAGAGCCCCCTATCAAATCCAAAGTGCTGGATTCACAGCCAATCAACAGCAAATGTGTCACTGTCCAAACACTTACAGGTATCACAACAATCAAAGTCTCTGAAGACAGTTAAAGTCAGCCACAACAAGACCTTGGACATACAACTGTACAACAAACTGTAGTTTCTGGCAAACAGCGGAAGAATAAATTGTGCCTCATGTTGTTGATAAGGCAGAATAGGGCCATCAAAGATGTTGCAGGTCTTTGCTTACTCCGCTGACAGTGACATAACTGTAGATAGGACAGGACTGTAAATCAGAATGATCATTTATCACCTTTAGACGGACTTTAAAAAAATCTTTTTATGGGTTATGCATGCTCTGTCCACACTGCATCTGTTAAATATGCACCATGTAGACAAACCACATGCCTATCAGCTCGAGATATGAGTGCAGACATAACCACTTAAGAGATGTTTCTCTACGTTTGTACTTTTTAAACAGAAAGTGCACACTTTATATTGTGATATTTACTGGAAATGACATAATATAGCCAGCAGCAAGGAGGTTGTTATTAATTATGGTCATTTCCCAGAAACTTACAGCTCCCTGGCGCTCTCCCTCCAGCTAGCTGCCACCCTATTTAGGTTTTTGTAGTGAAGTAAGGTATAGTTTAAATGACTCCTTATTTAAAATTCATGAATCAACCATTCTTCATCCATCGTGGTGCTTTCAAAGTGAGCGGCAGGAATAAATAAAAACAGGGCATCTTACAAAAGTTCAGCTCAAAACAGCAGCGCTGAGTTGCTTGCGGCTAGTCTGAGCATTCTAGTACTATACAATGCAGTCAAACTGAATTTGTCGCTGAAGCTCGCTTGCATCACATTCAGTCAGGACACATGTTGGAGCAAATAAACCAAATATTCAAGTTATCTATTTTTAAAGACAGTAAACGAATTCAGAATACCACCAATTTAAACTATGACAGAATACAGTCACTTATATTTGGTATTTTAAATACGTTACACCCTTTATTGTACTCTGGAACTCCCCAACCCTGACAGTTTGATTATTGAACGTGGGATTTTGTTTGTTTGTTTAGCAAGTAAGGTGTTCTCACACCTTCTAATCCCTCAAAAATGTAGCTCGACATCGTTGACTGAGGGTTGCGTTGAAGAACTCGTCTTGACCCGAGGCTCTTCCTCCCCGGGCCAATAGTTAGCGACTAGCTGCATAATCCTGTTGTGCATGTTTTAAAACCTGATATGGCAGGTAGCTTGAAATATCTTGGACAAAGGACAATAGAAAGGACGGGGGGAGGAGCAGACCTTTTAACTGTCTTACCTAAAGCCAATATTTACGTTTGGGGGGTGGAGGGGGGGTTACCATGGTAATTGGTTTGTCATTAACTTCCTTTTTTTCCTCAATAGCCGCAGTAATGGTAAAACAGGAAATTGTAAAAGCGTTTATGACCTCTTCATGAGATGTAAGCCAAGGTGACCACACCAGTTGTGATTAGCGCTTTTCTTTGACCCACTGTATTAAAAAAAATGGCCGCTGCTCTCTTATTGGTTGGAGATAAAGATAACAGTTTCACAGGCTATATTTCAGAGACAGATCTTAAGCTTGAACTATTTTCTCTTCTTCTTTAGACCTCTTACTTCTTACGCTTTTGCTACCTAGTTGTGTGCACCTGCTCATATGCACATAACCCTCGCTGTAAGTACAGTTCTGATAACGTTTTAGTTATTTGTCAGTGTGCTGATAGTGGCCCCAAGGTTAAAAATTCACTATTCTTGACCCTGTCAAAGCATGTCCTTTCCACAGTGACTCATAAATTTCTCTTTTGTTATGTACAAAGCTAATATATTGACATTGTAAGAAGCACAGTGGTTCACATTTTAATGCCTTAATAAACTAAAACAACCTCCCAGTATTCATGTTTCTGTCCTTGCAAATGGCAGTGATTGTCACTGGGTGGTTTAGTGGGTGTAAAACATCTGTGTTTGCTTGAATTGGTTGTAAATAGAGTTTTTTTTTTACCATATGGTGCAGTGCAGTTTGTTGACAATATGAAACTCCACTCAAAACTGTGATTAACATAACAGTAGAATTTAATAATATCAGATCTTTCTTAAAGTCACTTTGCTGACAATATAAAAAATATCTTGGGAAAAATTAATTAATTACACAGTGTAGAGTTCAGGCAGCTCGTCTGTTGCAACAAAATATGCTCCACGCTGCTTTATTGCGGCCATGTGCACTTATGAAATGACGAAAAACAACTGCGCAATACTAAATTATGGTCGTCTGGAACTACATGAAGCTGATACCCTGTGTAATGATAAGAAATATCACCATCACACAACGCAGCCATGAAGTAACCTGGCTCAGTAGATGTTTATGATGTTTCTGTAATTATGCAGTGCTCAAGAGAAAGCCCACTATCTCTGCCTTTGTGCCATAAATGTGAGTTATCGAGTGAGATCCTTCCATTTAGGCAGACTTTGCCCCCAGGAATTCATCCAGCCATCTCAGTCATAATGTTTTATGCTGAGTGTGGTTACATTTTGCACAAAGTAGGTAATAGGTGACCTAAGTTGGTCAAATATAGCTGTATATTGACTTCAAAGTATTTAGCGTTGAATATCAAAGTATTAAGAATGACAGTATCGGTGCTTTTGAACATTTTTGCCCCTCAGCTACAGGCTATGGACACTTCTTATTACTGCTGACCATTACCCAAAGAATATCCTAAGTTTTTAATTTGATTTCTTGCTGTTGATGCATTCACCGTGTCACAGACATAAGTGCTGCAGTTGTAACAGTGAACATTCAGTTAGCTTTATATTTTTGTAAAAGTCATATTATTGTTCCATATTAAACATTTGCAAATATCAAACTTTTTTGGAACTTTGCTGCACAAAACACCCACAAAACATTTCACTCAAGAACAACTATGAAACCAGTCTGAAAACTTGTGTTCCTTGGGAAATGGCAAGCAATAATGAAGGCATGCAATTTGTAGTTAATGAGCTGTAACGTAAAACTAACACAGCTTTGGGTGAGCTGGATTTACCTTAACATCAAAATGCAAATTGTCTTTTGGAAGAGTAATTTTAACTAAGGTAAGGTAACTTTATTTGTACCTGTAGGTAGATTTGGTTTGCAGTAAAAGACGAGAAATCCTTCGTGACGCATATTTTACAATCAAAACAGACAATAGACCAAGGGCGTAGGTTTCATTTCAAAACTGGTGAGGACACATGTCCAGCAGGGGGGTCCAGGAAAGCACTTTCTTGCATTCTGGTGAAGTTTTATGAACCAATTTACAGTGGAAATGTCTTTTATATACAGAAATTAAATCCCAAAAGTCAGGCACAATGGTGACAGTTGACTGCTTTTTAAATTGTTTGCCCTTTAAATGTGTTTCTCCTGCGGATCAACTTTTCTCATTTAATGTTATCTGTGCTGAGTCAACACACGTGTGGGCATAGTTTACGTTTCCATTCTCCTTTGTGTCTTTTGTTTGGGGAGGTAACCTCTTAAAATGTGCACGTGGCACCTGTTCACATCAGTGATAAAATATTTCAATTAATTTAATTCATAAACCCCTGGACTTTAATGGCTTATATGTGTTTCAGCAAGATTTTTTTGCTCATATTCAAAACGTACCCCATATATCAGGGTTCTCTTAGAAGCTGGGAACAAAGTTATAATATCTTGAGAACAGAGTTGTAAGATAATGAAAATAAACTCAGAATTTAATGAGACTATGTTAAAATGTTTCAAGAAGAAAAATCTACCTGCCGGCTACTCTGCTGTGCATTAGGTTATCACTCTGCTGATATGGTAGTATTCCCTTCAGACTGTCTGACAGACACAGAACCCCGTTTGGGACTGTCTCTGGTAAGGACAAAATTTAAGCGTCTGTGCACTGCTCTTCATCAAAGGTGGAAAAACAAAACTAACTGAAAACCCTTTTGAAGCATAATATGGGATTGTCACATTTAAAAGAAATAAAAATAAAATTGCTGTCCCTTGCTGGATCTATACATGATGCAATTTGTCCAGTATTTTAATGCTCAAATATCAGTAGGGACATTTCTGTCCCCCAGGATATTGGTAGGAATGTGTCCTTGCCATTCATGTGCAAACCTGCGCCCTTGCAATAGACAGACATGTTAAAAGTTGTCAGGCTCTTATAATGACTAATAAATACATGAGTAAAAATTGCTTCTATAGCATCTGTACAGTGCTGCTATGTTCAGCTGAGTGATGGCTGGTATGAAAGAAAGCTGTCATATAGCACTTCCATCCAGAGGGCAGAAGTTGAAATTCACAGTGCAATTGGTGGGAGTCAACATTTAAAAATCGAGCCGGCTATCTGCTGTCTAACTGGCTGCTCTCTCATTCAATGACATTTTCTCTTCCTCCTTCAGTGCGGCAAGTGTGCTATTGAGGGTGAAGATGAATGTCAGACGTCACCTTAAAGAAAAGAACACCATTCCCAAAATCTTTGCTGAAACAGTGCAACGCCACGGGGACAAAACGGCACTCATCTTCGAGGGGACCGGGGAGAGGTGGACCTTCCGGCAGCTGGATGAGTACTCCAACAGAGTGGCCAACCTGCTGCTGGAGCGGGGCTTCAGGGTAGGTCCATGCATCTTGTTCCACAAACATTTTGCTGAACTGGTTCTTTTACTTTTTTAAAACTTGCAGGTGTTGTTGACACCCCTGTATAGAGACTCAGAATCAGCTGATGACAGTTTGACGAGCCCCACCTTTTGTTGTCTCTCTCTTCAGGAGGGCGACGTGGTTGCCCTCTTCATGGAGAACAGGTCCCAGTACGTGGGCCTCTGGCTGGGCATGGCCAAGATCGGAGTCGAGGCCGCTTTGATCAACTTCAATTTGAGACTAGAGGCCTTGGTCCACTGTGTCAACATCTCCAATGCCAAGGCTGTGGTGTTTGGCGCGGAGCTGACTGACGGTAAGAGCGGGGAGGCCGGACAGGGGGATGAAGCAAAGGTGGCTGCAGATTTTCTTAGCTGTAGTCGCGATGTTATCAAGGTAATAGCCAAAAAATATGTACACCACTGTCTTCTGCTGATAAGTGCCGTAATGTTTCCGGTGTGATGAAAGAGGTGAGTGGTGTGGGGAGAAAGCAGGTCATGAAAGATAGATGGGTTTTAGAGGAGGTGTCTCTATAATATCAGTGGGGCTTTAAATGGCTGATGAGAGGAAAGAAGCGAAGGTAGCGAGGTAATGAAGAGGGAGATGTCTCCATCATGAGTCTGCAGCGTTCAAGGTCTGAGCTGGTCAGAGAACCGTACTGATGAATGGTAAATGGCTACAAGGTGTTTATGTATTATAAAATGTTTTTTCTTCCACTTAGTTCTGGTCTCAATAGATAAACAAGATAGATTAAAGAATTAAATTAACTCTAACAAGATCACATGTGTTGGTGAGTATTTCTGAATGTCCAAACAAAACTAATAACCTGCTCTAATGTCTAATCTACTAACCAGCATTGCATTATTAAACATGCCTGGTATTGCTCAGACATGGGGGCCACTGATGATATGAAATTGCAGCAGCTCAGTTGAACGGTCAAACATAAATTAGGGATCTATTTCAATCTCCTTGTGACCTTCTGGGTCCCTGCCCAATCTGAAAAGCCCTGATCTCAACAGCTATAAAGAGCGAATGAGTTCTGAGCTGCCCATCATGGGATTGATGGAGCAGTGTAAGTGTTGGATCCTGGACTTGATGTGTGCTTTGTGCCTTTTAAGTAATTGGAAGTGCAGCCTCTTTGCCGCAGAGGAGGCTAATGTAGAGCCAGTGGAGTTGGTGCTGAGCCAGTGGAGTTGGTGCTAACCCAGCTGACACAAGGCTTTTAAATAAACATAGTGTTTTGTTTTCTTTTTTCAGGGGAAAATATGGATTTCAATTTGTGTTTTATCTTCTGCTTCACTCACAGTAGCATATTGTTTTGTGGTGCTTATATTGTACCACATGACGTCCTCTTTTCTTTTTGGTTGGTAAAATGAATCAAACTTACTTATCTGTGTTTCTTTTACTCTGGTAGCGGTGTCCGAGATCCACAGTTCAATGGGGAAGACGGTGCAGATGTTTTGCTCCGGAGACTGGGACCCCAAACGAGTCCCGCAAGGAACCGAGTGCCTAGAGCCCCTGCTGGAGGGCACCCCATCTCACCTGCCAAGCAGGCCACAACGATGCTTCACAGGTGAGAACACAATGAACCAATCTTAGTTACCTAACAATGTTAATAACTACAAGAAGTTCATTGAAAGGTTTACTAAGCAGGATTATCGGTTACTGTTTGTGAACATGTTTGCCAGCAAAAGTGAAAGCCAAGTCTAGATTCACTCTCACTATATTTGCATTTTTTTTGTCGCTGTGTCTCCTGGATGCCTGCTGCTGATGGCCCAGCACCCGGTTGCCACTTTTTGATTAATCCCTAACCTTAGCCAAGCACTGTAGGAGTACACACACCCATAAACGTCCCAAACACAGTAAATGCAGGCAGAGGGCAGAGTGTCTGCAGAAAAATACACCGCCACACACTTCTGGCTCAAAAGTGATAAATGAGAGGGATTACTTTTGTTTGAGTCTGTTTTGTTTTTTTTTAAGGAAACTTCTGTGAAGTACACCTCAACAAATAGTCATTTTACAGATGCTCTCAGGAGTCACTTTAGGTGATATTTTTCCATGGTGTAGGCCCTGATCACACAGAAAGTGTTTTAGCAGCTGGAGGTGCCTTTTTGTAATTGTGTAAATTTGTTACTGCTTTAATGAGAATGAAGCCTTTTGCTCATGTTTTCTGCATTGCGATGTGCCTCGCGTTTCTGTGCTCAAGGCACCTAGCGTTTTTGCTGGAGCGCACTGAACTCCTCGAGTTGAAAAAACCTCAACTCAGAGTGGGAAAACAACCCCACATCATCTCTTTTTTGTCATCTTTTTCCCCCTATTGTCCAATTGGATGATTTGAGAGGCGGCGGGCCTTCTGTGGTGGTCAGCAAGTTTATAGTTGGTAAACAATGGAGGAGAAACTGGAGGTAGCGGTTGCCAGTAGGGCTACAACGATTAGTCGACTAATCGACTATTAAAGTAATCAATGACTATTTTGGTAGTCGACTAATCGGTTTGAGTTATTTTTCATAGAAAATTACTATAAAAGTACCCTAAAATACTCTTATTGCAGCTTCTTACGTTCAGATATTGGCAGCTTTACACACTCTCCAATGACGGTGAACTAAAACCCTTTGGCGTGAGTACGAAACAAGACATTAGATGACATAATTTTGGGGTTTGGGAGAGACAGACCGACATTTTTCAACATTTCTAAACATTTTTAGATAAAATGATTAGTTGACTAATCTAAGAAATAATCAACAGATTAGTCGACAATGAAAATTAATCATTAGTTGCAGCCCTAGTTGCCAGATAACTAGAGCTATACGGCCTGACAACAGACAGCAGGTCGTCAAACTGCCCCCGAGTCATCCTAAAATCATCAAGGCGAAGCTCCTGGACCAACTGGTGGTGCTCCCCTTTTTTAGAGTCTAATGTACCTACACAGATCTCCGTTGCCCTGTGCCCAACAAACTATTTGCTGACAGCCTCTCACCCTCAACCAGAGCTACAGCAAGTACCCTCTGCCTCAACATTTTAGGAATTAGATACTTATTACTGTGAAATAACTAAAATAAATAAATAAACAGTAAATTGTATACACAGGAAGGTTAGAATAAGGAGGTGAGTGTGGTTGCCTGGCAACAATTCAAAGGCGCAGCAAGCTTTTCTTTTTTTTTCACTACTGGCATTCAATTCTTAAAATAAGCAGCCTGCCAAACGCTTTCTGTGTGATCAGGGCCTAATTCAGCCCCCAAAACCACATGTCCTTGTCAGTAATGCAACTGTCAAATTTCTGTCAAATTCTCAGCACTTACTCTAACCAAATAAACACAGCAATTTCAAAAAAGTAATTTGTTTGCAGTTACTGATAGTGCATCATCACAGACCTGTTGACAAGTGATAAGCAATACTTTTGGGACCAAGCAATGACTAACAGTCAAATAAATGACATCATTCAATCATACTAAAAAATGAAACACTTGCACTGAACTGAAATGTCAAGAAGAGTTTCTTTTTTGTTTATTTGTAACATAGGTATATTAGATTAGACAGTGTCAGTGTTCCATTAGTTTCAATAATAATGTTTTAATTCTATTTAAAATATTTATGACTGCAAATAAATACAGAGGCCGAACAGAAACTTTAATTCACCATATTTATTGGAAGTAAAAGTAATCACATGATGCTGATAAGCTTTAACAAAGGAAGCATTATCTACCAAAATCCGCCACTCTTTTAACCATTATCATCATGTTGAATCACTGATGACTCATCACAAGAGATTATATGGGTAGCTTGTTTCCAAGGCAACAGGTATACAGTACACGGGTAAAAGGGAGAACGAATTTTATACACAATATTAACCAATCAAGTCACGTAATTGTTATTTATATCACAAGTTTGCTTTACAACAGCCAGTAGAAGATATTAAATACATGGAATATGTATGTATGCACAGCTATGCGATGAGCTGTTATTGAGAAAAATGAATCCAGTCCCAGTTGCTCACTTACTTTTGCCCTTGAACACTTCTGTAATCACTGACAGCCACACAGGCAGTTGCACCAATAAAACCTGTGACCTTTGTTCATGCTTACTCTCGGCAACACTCGCCACCCACACAGTTAATTTGCTTATGCCAAACAGCTCAGTGAAAGGGGTTGTAGTACGTGCATGAGGCAAGGTAGCACAAATCCACCATAATATAGCTCTCTGGCCATATATCAGAGCTCAAAATTGTATTTCTTTGGTGTAGTAGTGGCTGGAGTTTATTAGAGATGAAATTAGTTGTGAGCTGGAAGGCAAAATCCAAACACAGGTGGTCTATTGTGATGTCAGAGACCTCTCAACCTCAGGTAGAGCTAATTTGCATTCATAAGGATGCTGGACGTTTGGTCTGAACAAGATCTCGCTGTCTAACCACTTTGCTTGCACATTGCAGTGTTTCCCTGAGAAAAAGGGGACTTAATGGCCTAATTTTACAGTCTTTAAAAGGGATTCTGCTTCATTCTGCATCTGTCCTCCAGCGCTGTAACTTAGTCAAAATGAGCTTGCAATCAAAGCTGTGAAAAGGCCTGTAATTAAGTATCAAAGCCGAGCACTTTCACACCAGCGCAGCTAATCAGAAGTGAGCATTCAGCAACGTGTTTATGTCGAAAAGAGTTTATTTACACACTTAAAATGCCACAACCTGTCATAGCATATTTAGTTTTTGACATGTGAGTGATCCCACTCTCACTCTACTGTCTGTTTCAGATCGCCTGTTCTACATCTACACGTCAGGAACCACTGGGATGCCTAAAGCTGCTATTGTTGTGCACAGCAGGTAGGAAGGAGCCGTGCGGCTACAGTAACTAACAGACACACAGGAACTGCAGCTGCTCTCTTTGTTGATCTGTGTCGCTTTCATGTGCAGTATAAATACTGTTGAAAGAGAACGTTAGAGAAATAAATAAAACTTGTTGGTTTTGTTTTGACTTATTTTACTTTTTTCATTTCAGGTACTACCGCATGGCAGCCTTGGTGTATTATGGCTTTAGGATGACATCAGATGATGTGCTGTATGATTGCCTTCCACTCTACCACTCTGCAGGTAAAACTGTGACTGTGTGTGATTGAAGCTTATTTCAGGAAGTCTATCTGCTCTTGTTCCCTACAGGAAGTTAAGTTGCTTATAGTGTTCATCTTGGTGAACTTAGCTTGAAACAGCATTCAGTCTAAAGGCCCAGACGCACCAAGTCAGCTTCAGAGAACTCTCCACACCAGCAGATGGTGGTAGTCTATAATCCTCATTCAAAAAGGGAAACTGGGAGACGGTCTTGATGCTAGTTATCCAGTTAGCATACTAACAACACAGCACAATGTTGAAAGAACAGAGCATATTTATCGTGCACCAGTGAACAGTGACACAAACCATCAGGAGATGTTTCTGCTAAAGCGCTCAATGGCAAAAGAAAAATTATCTTACCTTCTGTAACAAGTTTGTTTTGGTCTCACTCCCTCTCGACGTAAGTTCTTTGCCCACATTTCTCATTTCGGTTTCTCTTCTCGTGCCCTGAGCTGAACTGCCAATCAGAGTGATTTCATTCACTGATTCACTCTCCGCTGCTGCCGATGCCAATTCAACATGTTGAATTAGCCAAAAAAAAAAACCAACAGGGGCTGATGAGGTGCAGGACACACCGCACTGATAAGGGTGGCAATCTTCACCTGTGTTTTTGAATGAGTGTCTTTTCTGGCGCACATTAAGTCTCAGTGGGCCTCGATCACCAACAGTTCTTAGGAAAAAAAATTCTAAATAAAGTTAGCCTATATTAATGGCAACCATGTAATCTAATAATTAGTGATAAATCATGCTAGAAAACATCTCGGGCAGGTTGGACAAAAAGCATTCTCGGAAACCATTGGCTGTATTTGGTGTCTGACTTCTGGCAGACAGCGATACAGCCTCTGGGGGCAGACCCCCGATTTTTTGGCATTCCGGTTTGATTTGGGCAGAGGAGGCGAATTTCCGTTTCCGACTTCCGTTTATATATAAGTAAATATGCTGAACCATTGCGATGGATTCAGAGTTTGCAGTGACGCCAATTATGTTCCGCCTCGTTAGTTCACCGCACGGAGTGTTTAACCTGGCAACAACTGCAGCCGGCTCAAACGTGATTGGTCAATATCACGCGGACTACAAACAGCCTACAACCGGAAACCAGGGCTCTTCCGCTCTTCTTCCGGAGGCAAGATCTCCAGGGTTTGCCTACAGATTCTACATTCACACACACTGAATGTAGAGTCTGTATATAGAGACTAGACAAAAAGCAGCATTCCAAGTGAGTTACAGAAGCATTGCGTCAAATAGTCACCTTCCACCTTCTCTGCCCCGCTATCTGTCTCTCGCTCTTGCAGACACAGGCACACCTTGGAGAGTGCTGCGGCTCTCGTCTCTGCTCTCAGTTCTGAGAATTGTGCAACTATATCTAAAGTTTGCGGCCGAGTGGTTGAAGGTGCATATTTTTAGCATCCCATGCATTTTTTTGTGTTATTTTATATCCACTACTGACGCTACTGAATATGACAGCTCGCTTGGTGTTCACTTTCTGCAGAAGCTTCTCCACTTCATAACTACTTCAGGTTTTGTTTTTTTTTTTAAACAGGCTCGTGTCATTATTTGTGTTGTATTTACTGATGCTAATTAGGATCAGCTGGCCTGTACTTTCAACTTGCAAGCAATAGGTTTTGTTTATGTAAGAACACAGGCTCAAACAATTCTGTGGTTTAAGAACATGTCATGAATCTGACGCAGACCTTTCTTAAGACCTTTCTTTCAAACAAATTTAAGAAAAACTTGGTGAATGAGGCCCAGTGTTGTTGACTTCTCCTGCTAACAGAAAATGGTGACAGGTTGCATGTTGTTGCTTTAAATTCTTTGTCTTTGTATGTGTCCATGTTGAGCTTGCATTCTGTGACCACAACAATCCATATGTCTTTGTCCACAGGTAACATTGTGGGAGTGGGCCAGTGTATCATACATGGCATGACTGTAGTCATCAGAAAGAAGTTCTCCGCCTCGCGTTTCTGGGATGACTGTGCCAAATACAACTGCACTGTAAGTATGATGTATATTACAAGCCATTGATCTGGTGTGCATAGCAGTTCACCACAATTTCAGTGTTGTTCAAAAGATGTCTTTCCCGTCTCTTCTTTTAAAAAATAATCTGTGTTATGCTATCCACAGTTAATCTCTTTGAATCCCCTTTCCATTATAATAAGCTTGGTATTAAATCAGTAATTAGTCTGTTCTTATATCCTGTCTCATCTCTAAATGAATTTTTGTCACGACCATCCAGATTGTGCAGTACATTGGTGAGATCTGCAGATACCTGCTGAACCAGCCAGTTAAGGACACAGAGAAGCAACATCGGGTGCGCATGGCACTGGGCAACGGCCTGCGCCAGTCCATATGGGAGGAGTTCATGAAGCGTTTCAACATCCCACAGATAGCAGAGTTCTACGGAGCCACAGAGTGCAACTGCAGTCTCGGCAACTTCGATAACAAGGTGTGAAGGTGCAGCAAAGTAGTGATTATGCTCTGACCACGCTGAAAGCTTTGTGGTTGGTAATATATTTTTGTCTGTGCTCTAGGTTGGAGCGTGTGGCTTCAACAGTCAGATTCTACCGTTCATCTACCCCATCAGACTGGTGCGGGTTGATGAGGAGACCATGGAGCTCATTAGGGGACCTGATGGTGTCTGTATTCCCTGTAAACCTGGTAGGTTTACTCTTTACTCATATGAAACATCAACTTTACACTTTGTACATACAGAGTGGTGGTGTTGAGCAGAAAAACACATCAGGGGCGTATGCAGCTGCTCACATATTGCCATCCACATCATATCATCACTGAAATAAAGCTGGACACATAATCCACCTTAATATGCTTGTTCATAAGAATAAGAAATATTGAATGAAAGGAAATAGCTATATATTAAAGGAATACTTCACCCCCCCAATGACCATTTCTTTATCAATTGCTCAGACAGTATTACACTGTCTGAGAGCATTTTAAATGAACTGAAGTAATGGGGGTTTAACAACAGCAAATGTATATTAAAATATCTGTTTACCAACTCTCATACATCTCGTGCAGTATGATCAAAGTCTCATTTATCCAGTTGTATGCTCAGTACCTCCCAAACTCTCACCTTACTCATGAAGTTAAATCCAAGTCTCCTTTATTCAGTCTTATGCTCAGTACTTCTCAAACACATGCATTTTCATCAGAACATTACAGTGGTGGAAAAAAGTTTTCGGACACCCTTAAAATTTTACACAATCTCAAATATTATCATGAAATATTTGTGGAAAAATCTTTTTTGTGTTTCAAAAGGTGTGGCTTCATTAGACAGATACAAACAAATACAAATTATATTTTTTTGTTTATTGTTTACAAGAAAAACTAACAAAACTAAATTCTTGACAGTTTCAATATGTCAGTTCTCAACATTGTCGGTATCAAAGTCAACAAATAACAGAGAATGTGTTCAAAACTGAACAAAAAATAAATAAACCATCACATCATCAAATTAATATTTAGTAGTCCTGCCATTGGCACGTAGTAGAGCTCTAATCCTGGCTGGCATGTTCCCCACGAGCCTTTCACACTGTTGAGGGGTAATCTTGTCCCATTCTTCTTGAATTACTGCTTTTAATTCTTCTAAATTCTTTGGTTTATGCTTTGAAACAGACCTTTTGATAATCCACCACAGATTTTCAATGGGGCTCATGTCCGGGGATTGAGCTGGCCACTCTAAGACCTGGATACTGTGCTCCTGCAGCCAAGTTCTACTGGCCTTGGATGTGTGGCAAGGGGCATTATCTTGTTGAAACATCCAGTTTTTACCTCGACGGAACAGTGCACGCGCAGAAGGGAGCATGTGGGTTTCGAGAATGGTACAATACTTGGTAGAGTTCAATGTGCCATCACAGACAGTGAGATGACCAACACCAGCAGCACTCATGCATCCCCAAACCATGATACTGCCTCCACCATGCTTGACAGTAGGTACTGTACATGCTGGAGATAATGCTTCGCCTGGCCTTCTGCGTACCCTCACATTAGTAGGAGGAAGATAAAGCTGGAAACTGGACTCATCTGACCACAAAATCTTCTTCCAATTCCTGGCTGTCCAGTTCTTGTGTGCCTGGGCCCAACGACGCCGGGCTAACCTCTGTCTCTCATTGATCAGGGGCTTCTTGATAGCCTTGTAGGACCTTAAGCCATGATCTAAAAGTCGGCCACGTACAGTGCGGGTGGAACACTGGACACCAGTTTGGTTTGACCACTGCTGCTGAAGCTCCTGTGATGTCATTCGGCGGTTTTGCCTGCACATGCGGATCAGGATGCGGTCATTTCTTGCTGAAGAAACCCTTGGACGCCCAGATCTTGGTTTGTCTTCCAAGCTGTTGGTTCGTCTGTATTTCTGCAGAGTGTATCCAACTGCTGAAGGACTGCATCTGCACTTCCTGGCTATCTGGCGGCAGCTGTACCCTTCCTGGCTGAGAATCTTTATCTTCAGGCGTGTTTCCTGCGTTAGGTTCCTTGTTTTAGCCATTTTTGTGTCTGAAGAACTTTCAAATGTGCTGGCTTTATGTAGACACGAAGCTTGGCAACAAAAATTGTGTCTTTTAATAAAAAGAACGGCCTTCATCACTGGTACCAAAATGACCCAATACTCAAAATTACTTATGTATTTTTATGGAACCAATCAATTTTAAGTTTTTAATGGCTTTTTTAGGATTTATTTAGTATTTTGGCTGTGACTGTACTAAAAGAAATTGCACTTGAAGACCTAAGAGTGATTCTTAATGCAATATTTCACAAATGCATGGGGTGTCCGAAAGCTTTTTTCCACCACTGTACAATATTAAAAACCTCTGTCTACAAGTAGCATGCCTATGAGCTCTGGTTGTGCAGAGTTCAAATGCAGATGCATACCCTGGCATGCTAGTCGGCCACACATAAGACTATTTGTACTGGTGTGCTTTTAAATCATAATGCTTAAGCAAAAATGCATGTGTTTGGTACGTACTGAGGATATGACTGGATAAATGAGACTTGGATTACACTGCAGGAGTTGTATGAGACTCTGTCAAAGGAGGTTTTGATATAGTTGTTAGATGTTGTTTAACACGGCCCCTGTGTAATTCAGTTCATGAAGAATGTTCCCCTTTTTTGGATTCTTCGTTCACCATGGAAGCATACAAGAAAGAGTTTTCTTCACAAATTCAAGGTAACATGAAGTGAGTAATTGTAAACAAATGGTCATCTGGGCGGTGAAGTATTCCTTTTGGAAGATTATAAAATGTGAAGAGTCATTATCATTATAGCACTACTCTGGGCACACTGCAGTTGTTTTTCTGGACATTTTAACATATAATGTTACTGGCTGAGCAAGTAGGTTGAACACTCAGTTTATAGGTTAACAGACTCACAACAGGGCTTCAGTGAACTTCAAAATGACTGCGTAGCATTGTGTTTATCACATAAGTGCTGTGGACATACTGTCATGCACAGACACACCTGGTCCCCTCTGAAAGCCCTGAAGAAGCTCAAACACTCCACTTTGTGTGTGGAAACAGTAATGTGATTTGCCACTATAATCACCAGTCAGACATTAATAAATTCTCTTGTTCTTCCTCTCTAGGTGAACCTGGGCAGCTAGTCGGCAGGATCATTCAGAATGATCCCCTTCGGAGGTTTGACGGATATGTCAACCAATCAGCAACCAGCAAGAAGATTGCTCATAGTGTTTTCAAGAAGGGAGACAGTGCCTATCTCTCTGGTTAGCGTCTCACACACACACACACACACACACACACACACACACATGTTGTGGTATTCACCATATTCTTTGCTGACTGACTGAATAAATACAATCTGTCACCCTCCTCTCACCAGGCGATGTGTTGATCATGGATGAGTGCGGCCACATGTACTTCAAGGACCGCACAGGAGACACTTTCCGCTGGAAAGGAGAGAACGTCTCAACAACCGAGGTGGAGGGAACTCTCAGCAGGCTGCTAGACATGAAAGATGTAGTTGTCTATGGAGTGGAAGTACCAGGTAAAAATCTGTCAACATGCTTGCTTGATTTTCCTCAATTTTCCTCCCAAAGAAAGTTGTCATTTCGGTTTAGTTTAGAGCTGGGCAAACAACATGTCTGCAGCCTGTGTGTGTCTTTAAAATAGGTCACTGTTGTGTGTACAGAGAGATGAGTGGAATGCTGAACAGATATTTCACAAGAGCCATACTGCGTTAAATACTAGTTATCACAGCTGCAGTGTCTCGGCTTACTGTTGACTTATTGTGACATTAAATGATTTATAGCATTTTAAAGTGCCATTACATGTAAAGCTGAGCTGCCACTGAGGCTCTGCAGACAAATCACAGATGCCACTTTATAGTTGCTGTGATTAGATTAGATATGGGATAACTTTATTAATCTCCAAATCTAGTCTGACATGCACGGTGACGAATAACAGAAGTTACACAAGTCAGACAGATCACAGCAGACAACATATGAAAGACAAACTGCCACAACAGTAATAACACTAAAGGCCCAAATGCACTTAAGTTTTAAAGTACAGCTATTCTTTTAAATGGTCAAACACGCACTTTAATTGTTATGAGGTGCGTCAAACCGCTTTGACGTCATACTGCGATCTTGTCAAAGAAGGACCCAGCAACCAATGCGGTTATTTTCTGCAGCTGCAAAACGTCTTTGGAGAGAGCTAAAAGAAATAAAAAGGTAAGTATGTTTTCCCCAGAGGACAATATATATTTTTTTTGAAAGATGAACTGAGATGTCTGGTCTTTAGTGGCTTTACTGGTGTTCTACTGCCAACTAACAGACAAATGCAGCAGCACACACCCCACAGCTGCCCTCCTTCCTTATGTAATGTTGTAGGTTACTACCATAGAAATGTACAGAAAATCAGTGGGAGTATCTGTATGAGAAATTGGCCTAGATAGCGACCTTTTCCTAAAATACCGCTGGTTCTGTGGTGTTGCTATTTCAAATCTGATGCCTGCAGTGCACCCAAAGGTGTTGGTTTTGTGTCAGCATCGGGACACATATGAAGCAGGGGGTTTGGGGGTCCTCTGCCAGAAAATTTTGAACATCAAACACTTCATTTCCTGCATTTTTGTGCCTTTTTTGTGTCAATTTTTTGAAGTAAATGTCTTCAATCTTTTCAAAATAAAATTCTTCTGCAATTCAATGTTTTTATCAGGGAGACATTATCTAAATATTGAGGGGGACATTTCCCCTGCTTCCCCCCAAAATCTATACCAATAAATGAGCCATAGGAGCATCTATTTACTCGCGACAACAGATATTCCAAGAGGATAGTAGTGTTGCTCAGGAGCTCGCACTAAATAAAAAGGCAGTATCTTAATACAATCATTTTTATAGAGTGAAGTATCAAGAAGTGTCTCTTTCAATACAAGCAGTATATGAGGGGAGCACAAGTGAGATGTTGTGTGAAGTCACAAGAAGAGTTCTGCACAGCATTCATAGCCTCGTTGCACAAACACAAGCATCCGTTTGACCTTATAACTTAGTGGTCTATAAGATTAATCGTCTGACATGCCCATTTCTGTGTGCACAGGAGCAGAGGGAAAGGCTGGAATGGCAGCCATCGCTGATCCGTCTCACTCCACTGACCTGGAGAAGTTTGTGAAGGACATGGAGAAGGCTCTGCCTCCGTATGCCAGACCTGTATTCCTCCGCTTCCTTCCGGAGGTCAACAAGACAGGTAAATGCTCTTTTCAATGCAATAGGTGTCAGAGTATAATTGTAAAAAGATTTTTAGAAACAGAGCAATTTTATTTCTGTGCAATTGAAACAAAACAACAGGTATTAGACCACAAACCATCGTAGCTGGCCTCTGATGTGTCCTAGGTGTATTTTATTTTTTTGATAAGACTGTACATCAGACAGTGATGACTGTTATGTGGAAATTTTAAAGGAGTCAAAGTACAGTGTCCATCCATCTGTTTTCTGCTGCTTATATGAGGTTAAGCAAGGTAGTCCAGAAGTCCTTCTCCCCAGCAGTGTTTCCTGAGGCATCCCCAATTCAGATGAGGGCATTTCTGCAATATGAATCAGCATCTGTTTTCTGCTGCTTATGAGGTTAAGCAAGGTAGTCCAGAAGTCCTTCTCCCCAGCAGTGTTTCCTGAGGCATCCAAATGAGGGCATTTCTGCAATATGAATCAGCACTTTATTATGGCCGGGCACCCTGCAATGGAATATAGAATATAGAATATTTTGTTGTTATTGTGGCTGTTGTGGAAAGTTCTTATTGTCCTTCCTCCCTCCTCTTCTCTTCTTACACCTACCTGCCCATGGGACAGGAGATGGAAATTAGCCGTACGGCTACAATCTCTTCTCATATTTACATTTTTTTTTTCTTTTAAAATGTTCATTAATATGCATTGTCCCATTTCTAAATAAAGAAACTTGAAACTTGAGATAATTACTCCACAGTGTTCTGGGTCTCCTACCAGTATGGCGTGCCCAGAAAACCTCTAAAGGAAAAGCACCCGGGTAGTCATCCTCATTAGTTTTATCAGGCTATCAGCCCAAAACCCTCAAATATTTGTATTACTTTCATATCTGGACAGTAAAAAAAGAGGGTGTGAGAGGTCATGCTATACTCCAGATGAAATTACACCTCTAGTTCTTCACATAGCAATTTTTTAATTCCTTCAATCTAGAAATGATGAATTTCGCTTATTGCCCCTTTAACGCTGTGTTTCTATATTTTTTAAAGCAGTAAAGACAGTGAAGTATGGTTATTCTAAGACATGTTAATGGCACCTTAATTGGGAAAATGAAACACCTACATATTTCTCTTTCTCTTTCTTTCATAGGAACGTTTAAGTTTCAGAAGACGGACTTGCGCCGGGAAAGCTTCGACCCCACTGTGGTGTCAGACAGACTGTACTTTATGGATTCCAAAAGAGGGTGCTATGTGCAGCTGGACGAGGAGCTTTACCGCTCCATACTGTCAGGGAAACACAAATTGTGATGAGCAGGCTGACCACTACATCTACACATGTACACATAGACACACACGCATACAGAAAAGACATTAATGTGTGACCAGGATAGCAGAATGCAGGACTTCGCCCCAGTATACAGTGCATTTAAAGTAATAGCCATACACACTCCGTGCATCCGTACTCATATGCCAACACATACACACACATTATATTCCCCAAACCCACTTTGCTCTTTGTGATCCCTAAAAACAGACACACACACACACACACACACAGCATCACTCCATCCATCCCCAGCTACTCCTCTCGCTACCTCAGCAAACACAGAGAGAGGCACAAACCTAGTAACCAGGTCAATTTGGTAACTTGAAACCACCCTTCATAGCCACACACTCCCTGCCCACACAGGCCTCAAGATAGACACGTCTGGCCATCCTGGTCCATCAAACCACGTGTTGCTGGGGGACACTCCTTGGGGGGACGCAGAGTTCAGGCTCCCTTGCAACCAGAATGCAAAACTTGAAACTGCAGATAACCACAGACTTAAAAGGATGCTGAGAAGAATGTGGATTCAGTACAAAAAGTGTGCACAACAGAGGGACCTACGAGGACCTAAACTGTCACTCGGTTCGTTGTATCGTCAGCGAGATTGTTTTGTGAAAGACTGAAGGCTCTACCATCGACTCAACCTGCACAATTAGCCTGCAGTGATAACCCTGTGTGACACCTTTACTCTATCTGAGGTTAACTGTGTCTTCATTTCTGCCCGTGAGATGAAATGAGTAAAGGGCACCAAGTTTTTTTTTAAAAAAAAGGGAACAACAGAAGGATGTGAGGGATTTTGGAAAGCATTGGACGTGTAACCCACGGTTACAGAAGTTAAATTTAGACCAGTGGTTGAGGTGGAAAGATCTACTAAAGTGCAATAGGGCTCCAGCGTTTGCAGTGCAATAATCAGCCGCACCACAGGAGAGCTGATATAAAAAACAAAGCTTTGTATTTAAATATGTCACACCAAATATGTTTAAGTTGTAGTGCTTGTTTACATATTTAAGAAAATATGGAAGTTTTAGTAATTTATGTTTAAGCTTTCTCTTTTGTTATAGTGCAGGTTATTTTTGCTTTACGTGTATCCAAATCTTCAGTAACTTTTGAAGTCCTCAAAAATGAAGCTGCAGTATGCATTTTATATCAGCTGCTGGAACACAAAGTCAAGTGGTCTGACTGATTCAACCCTGGGCTAAATCAATGGGGCTATTTCTGTAAACACATGCTGACACGCAGTGTGTTTGCATGGCTGTGTTGTGCAGGTTTTGTCCGAAAAGGTAGACTGTCGTACGGTGTGTGTATATTCTTCTGAAACTGAAAGAGGACTTTACTGAAGATAAAGAAGCACCAAATCGCACCATCAGCGAGGACTTGTGTTTTCAACAATACTCTGGTGCTAAAGAAGGATGTTCTGCCAGACACAACAGAGCCGAAAGATCCAAAGATTCAAAGGCCAGAGTGGGGACGTTGTGACGGAGGGGGTTGCGTCGAAATGGAACAGTAGAAGAAGAAACTGTGCTTTGTCATCGATGTTTTGTCTGTTGCTTGCACTAGCTGTCATCAGAGGTTGTAGCAGCATGAATGAGCATCATCAACCACGCAAGCAGAGCACTGTGCCTTACTGTGAGTTCACCTCCCAGATTCACAGGCCCTGGCCCACATCATAGTACCTGTCTCATCTGTCTTCAAGTTCCCCGTCATAGTAGCCTCGCAAAGCTGGCCTAAATCGTGGGAGCTCATACTTTTATTCTTAAAAATGATCTGTGTAGAATCCATGGCAGCACAGCGACTGGCGCCTTCGTCCTGCCAGGTGCAGGAAGAGGTTGTGATGATGTCTAAGTGGGCAAGAGTCCAAATTTTGCAAGCAGTGGCGCCCCCAGGGTGGGGCATGACCTCCCTGATAAAACAGCTATCCCCAACACTTGTGAAAATAATAGGAGGCCAGTATCATCATCTTGGAGAGGCTTTGTCTCACTCATTTTTTAAGCTAGCCCAAGGTATTGGTATCTTGTGAAACTAGACAACCTTAGGCATCAATTGGTACCGACCACATTGGCAAAGCGGGGTGGGGGCTGAATGAAGCCTTGCAATAAGGTTAAATTTTGGTGAGGGAACAACTGGCACATTTTCAAAGGGGTCCCTTAAAATGTCACGTCAAGATATCTCAGTCTTTTTTCATGAAAAGGACAACCACCCTGTTTGAAGAACAAAGAATCCTCTAAAAGGCTTGGATGGTATCTAATTTTTAATACCTTCATACGTTCCTGAAATTTCACCAGGGTATACATTATAAGACCGTATTATTGTGCGGCACTAACCCAACCCCACGACTAGCGAGACTTAGCTTCTGCAGTATAATAAATAGTAAGTATATTTTCCTTATTTAACAACAGAATACAACAATTCAAGTTTCTCTCTTTAAACACACAAAGACTAACGTAATTGACCTGTTAACCCACAATTAAACATACTTCATTCAAACATGACAGAAACAAAATTAAACTTACCAAAACCGACTTGGTTAGTCTTGTTAGTCCTTTAGGTAGTTAGTCCACTGTCCCAACAATGAGCAGCTCTGATTTGGTCGAAATAAACCATTAATTTACCGAGTTAGATGTAAAAATGTGCCATTTACAGTACTGTAATGTTATCCCCACAACCACCAGCTGCCTGTTCCACCAGTGGAGAATAGAGACTGACCTCTGGTGGTGAGTGCTGTTCACTACACAATAAGTTTAATAGAAAGAGGACTGACTGAATTTTTGTCGGTATTGAAAATCATAAAGTCAGGATTTTTTAATACCCTGGTATACCGTAATACCATGATCTTGCCCAAGCCTATCAGCAAACATGCATTGATACTTACTACATTTGTTCCACTATCAGTCTGCGCACATCAGATCTTTAGTAACGTTAACTGTAAAATAAGAAACCAAAGTACTGTGTGATTCCTTAAGTCTCTTATTGACCTAGTTTTCAACAAGCCTACGTACTTTAACAGCATAATCAAATTCCTGAAATTCAGTTATGGTGTTTTGATGTGCCACCCCAAGATTGTCAGTGGCCCTTTCCGGGGCAAAATACAAAATATTTCTGGGGGCGCCACTGTTTGCGAGGCTGCTGTCACAGCGTCTTGTCTTCCTTTGAGTCTCTTCCGGTCTTAGTCCAAACTGTAACCTTAATTTATCTTCTAGGTATTCGTTACTTGTTTTTTTTTTTTTTTTTTTTTTTTCTTTTTTGGGGGGGTTGTCTTATAGATATTGTATGCCCGAGACTCCGTTTGCTCAGCACCTTTACTTCACGCCTTCATCATCTGTCTGCCAACCACTGGTCCTTTCCCTTCAGCCATCTCTATTCTCTTTCCTCCCTGTCCTTGGCCCTCCATCCCTCCGAGCTGGCACCGCCGTTTGATCCTTTCTGTCTGCGTCAGGTACCGAGCCTCTATTCTCTGCCATGTCTGCTTCATCTTGTTGTGCTGATGTTCAGACAATGGTTTAAACTGTAGTTATATTCATTCCTAATTGGAGTTTGTTTAGTGTTTGATGGGGCGGGCTTTTTTAAGATTGTTCTGGTGACCTAAAGCTCCAACTACACACTCAGAATTGTTCGCAAATATCTTTTGCCGATGTGTGTTGTGCGTAGTCTGCCATTACCCTGTGACTTCTTGTCTTACTTTTGCAACTGACCACATCCCAGGCCACCTACAGTACAGCCAGGCTGGCTGTCGCCAACAGTGGTTGTGTAACTGGCTGTAGTGTAGAGGACTTATTCATCATTAGTTTTCTTGCAGCAACGCTTTGTTGTTCTCCGCAGACTGATTCTCGATATCTTTAAACGGCTTTTCTTAGTTGGTACTTTGCACTGACTGACACAGTTGACCTTGGCGGCTGCAGTCTGCTGACAGTGATCGTCAAAGTTGCTCTCACCTATTATTTCCCTGTTTCGGGGGAAAGACCAACAAAGCCGTTTGACAGAAATTGAGATTCATCCCTGCCTCCTCTGTGGCTCAAAGAGTCTCGCTCTCACTTATATTTATTCTTTAATGAGTGTGTAATGTTCTCATGAATGTCTGAAATAGCAAATGAGTGACCAATGACGATGATGATGATATAAAGTGTAATTTACGTATCTAAGGGAACACAGTTTGGCTGTTATGATGCTTGTGGCTGAGGGGTTTGTTAACCCTGACCAAACAGTCCCACGGCAGAGCACTCTCAATACGATGTTTCCATTTTTCACTTCTTCTTTTTTTTTTTAATAAGTTTAAATTATTATTTTTTTGAAGGAACTGTTAATTATACTTCGATTGTTTATACTTTGATTGCTGTATGTGTTTACTTTTGTTTTCTTTGCGTGAAGTCAGAGCTTTTGTGATTTTGGTATAAAACGGGATTCATGCATGAGTGTAAGACAATCGAATGGCAGTTTTTGTTTTTGTTTCTTCTTTTATTTTTACCTTTTTATAAAAGGCACTAGGAACCAGCCAGGGAGGAACTTTTTTTGGATTCAGTTGGTGTAGTAATAGATGTTGACCAGGAGCCAATTTACTGTTTCTCAGCTCATAAATATTGTTTCAAATGTAGATCGTTAAACCGGATATGTCAACTGAAGGCCTGCAGGGAGTGGGGCAGGGTGTATAGAAGTTTTGAGACACCTGTTTGACCACAGGGGGGCGCTATGTCCTTTCTCGTAAAAGGGAGAGTGAAGGAGGCACCATGTCATCATTTTATCATTGCAGCAGAGGACTAATGAACAGACCTAATGATTACAACTTTAAGGAACAGTGTGTAGGATTTAAGGGGATTTATTGGCAGAAATGAACTATAATAAGTATGTTTTCTTTAGTATATGATCACCTGAAAATAAGAATTGTGTAGAATGAGACGTTTATATTTACATAGGGAGTGGGTCCTTGTCCATGGAGATTGCCATGTGGCACCACCATGTTTTTACAGCAGCCCAGAGTGGACAAACCAAACACTGACTCTAGTTCAGCCCTCTGCGACGAGCCAAACAGCTTTGGAAAAACTCCGATTTATAGTGTGAAACTGCTGTAGTCAGTGTTTTTACCTGTTTTAATCACCTGGTCCGTTTGTTATGGAGAGAAAGAGACCTCTGCGGACAATTCGTCTCCGAATAAAACCCCCCTGAACCCCAAAAACCAAAGGAATCCTAATTGGGAGATTCTTCAGCTTCTTCACCACTAGATGCCACTAAATCCTACACACTGCTCCTTCAAACTACTGTAGAAATATGTTTATGAAAATGAAACTTTATTCATATGTTAAACAAATTTAAAACATCTAAATGGTTTAGTTGGCCTGCTGATATTTTTATTTTCTTCCTCATTTTTTTTTTCAGCTCAGAAACAAATGACCATTTTCCAGGTCCTCTGCCTGTTTTAACGTTATGTGACCAATTAAACTGATTTATTTCAGCCCCCTAACACACTCCGACTATAAATTTGGTGAACATACGTTTATTGGGTTGAGCTCCAAAGTGACCAATCTTGTGAAAAAGCCTCAAGAGGCATCAAACTGTCACCACCAGTCTTCCCAGTGCTTCGTTAGATCAATCAACTTGATCAGAGTCTCTGATTGTAAAAGCACTGTAAAAAACACTGGTGATCAAAAAACAAGACACTTCTAAAATCCTAGTTAAGTTTGTAATGTGGAGATCATTACAGGCCTTAGAGTGATTCAGGAGCCCTGGCTGAAGAATTGTAACATTTCTGTGTCTCTGGTCTCGCTGTCCCTCATACCTCTGATCAACATCTTCCCACGCTGCTTTTTGCACTTATTGTTTGTCTGTTTTTCCCCGTCGTGGTCTTCAGGAACATCGAGCATTGCTAGAGAAGGAAACGAGTTTGTACACGTCTGCCTATATGTGTGAAAGTTTTTATTGTTTTTATTTTGTGGTCTCGTCGCACAGGTGGCGGCTTGTGCGGAGTGTGTAGGGGGAGGTCTGTGAGGTGTGCTGTGTGTGTGACACACTGATGTCCTCTTGTCCACTGAAGGCTAGCTGTATACATCGTGTATTTCAAGAGAATGAGATAAAAGCTGCAAATGGAAAATCATTATTAATAAAAACTATTTAAATTGTTCACTTTGACTCAGGTTGTTGAAACACTTTATTTGATTGACACCTGCTGCGTGTAGCTCAACCCCACAGATTTTGACTATTAAAAACCCAAAACATGGCAGTGATATTGTAACAAGTTAACAGCACGGCCATTTACCCTAGAAACGCTGTGCTCAATGTACCAAACACTGGGTCAGGCAGTTTACTTTGGGTCACACTTGGACAATTTCCTGTTAGATAACTTCCAGTAAAACTGACCTAAAAAGCATTTGTTTGTCTTTTTGTTTTTTTTTTAATAAATTGTGTTTTTTTTTCTTTTGTTATGAATTAATAAACAGTATGAATGGCCCCTTTAGGCAGTCTAACAATCAAACTATTCTGTCCAATGTCACATGTAGTACATAATACTTAAAGGACTACTGTATTAAATCAGGAAAAAACAGCTTGCTCATCCAGTACCTCTCATGCTGTTGCATCACAGAGTTTAGTATTGGAAGGCTAAATATCATTTTATATCACTGATTTGAATGGAAAAACAAAAACAGATTTTTGCTTTGCTTTTTTCCTCATTGATTGAAGTTTTCATTTATGAAAATATTGTGTCATGCAGCTTGTGTGAGCCAACATTGTATCATCATATATGTTTATCAAAGAAAACATAAATTATGAGTTTGAGCTTATTAACATTCATGCTCACAGTTATGAAATAGGTGCAGAGTTTTTGTTAAGAAAAGTTTAAAAATAAACATAATATTTTACATTAAAAAATGTAAAACTACATGTAAATATACACGCAAGCATCCATACCGTCATACTCATACACACATCATACATCACACACCTCTGTACAATCATACATTCATTCTAAATGGCATAAAAGTGTATGAGTATCAGGAAAGTAAAGAAGTTACAGTGATAAATAAATGTTTATATATAGTTATATCTTGTTTTTTAATGGTTTGTGTCATTTGGTTTGCCCAGTTGAAGTGGGCTGCAGAGGCTTCATAGGCAGGTCAGAATTGGAATTCGAGGCCAAGCCCAGCGTCAGGCCATCAAAGATCTCTGGCACAACCGAACAGGCAAGCCGGTGGCTATGGATTAAGAGGAAAGATGCCACCTGGGCCCCAAAATACCACTCACAACAGCAGGGTACAGGGGAGTAAAAGCAGAGGGGGGACGCATCTGGGAGGCCAGGTGTTGCCGAAGAGCCCTTTGGAGGTGTTGTGGGTCTATCATTGAAACACCAGTGGGGGGTACCCACATCATGACCCCAGTGAAGCTTTTACCCTCGACCAGTTAAACTCCACCTCGATTAAAGTTAGGTATGTTTTTCTCCTGTTAGTTTTTTCTTCCCTTATCAAAATGAGGGAGCACTGGGAGGTAGAGTGTACGGCCCGGTCCAGCAGGGGGAGTTCAGTCCGTGCAGAGGTCTCTCCTTCGCTCTGCCTCCCCTATGCTCCTTCTTACTTTTCCATCTACTTTGCTCTTTCCTACTTTTCTGTCCATCTAAGCCTTTGGCTCCCACTCAGATCCCCAGATGACACTATTATTCCCGCTTTATTACCCCCACTCATAGTCTCATGCATGTGCATCAAGGATTGTAACATCTAGTCCTTAACTGAACTTTCTCTTCTGATATTTACTCCAATAGGGCCCCATTGCGTGTGCTGGCTGCATGAGTTATCTGTTGTGGACTGGTGACACAACCTACTTTCTTTTTTTTTTTTTTTTTGCCTTTATTGGACAGGACAGGTAAGCGTGAAGGGGGAGAGAGAGAGGGGGGATGACATGCAGCAAAGGGCCACAGGCTGGATTCGAACCCCGGCCACTGCGGCAACAGCCTTGTACATGGGGCGCCTGCTCTGCCACTAAACTACTTTCATAGGTTGCTACATATTTATTTTCAGGTTCCTTACTTTAATAATAACAGACATATTTATCTGGTGTGCGGAGAAATTAGTACAGCATAGTTTTGCAATATCCTGCATGACAATGTTGAATAGATTTTTTTCATGATATGAATTATCAATTTGAAAAAATACAAATTAAACTTTTGGTATCGTTTTAGAGCCATAAAATCTGTTGCTTTCAGGTTTACTTGATACATTTTGCTTCAATAAAACTCACTGAAGTGAGATGAACAGACTGAATACTTCATCTTATCAGATAAAACAAATTTCAAAACATTTTCAAGTAGGGACATACTTTGCAGCTGAAAAAACGTAATAAATGGCTAAATAAGTTATTGCAATACTCACTATGTCACAAAATGTAAAAAATAAATAAATAAATCACAATGATATTGTATCGTATTGTATATTGTATCCTGACCTGACCTCGCACCAAATCTCCCATTATTGGGAGCTTGTGATTCAAAGTATCAAAATTGAAATCCTTCAAGTAAAGTTTGAAGGATTTCAGAGTTCTTGACATAGCAGAGGTGACTATTCATTCACTCTTGTGCAATATTAACCAAGGCAGGTTTGCCTGACCGTGTGGTCAGTCACGACAAAGACAAAGGAGATGAAGCGGCAACTTTGAGTTCCCTCTTTGGGTGTAGCTATGTTGAAAGCCAATGTGTGAGTGAGTATATGTGGGTGTGATACGTGTCGCAAAGGGTCTGGGTTGTTACAGAGGATGTTTAGTCGCATGCGAGACTCTGTCTGTGTAAAGCAGCAGCAAACTAACATCTTTTAGCTTTGGTGAAGCCAAGTGATCAATAGCTGCAACAGTCACAACAATAACTCGTTGAAAACACTTTATCAATACATGTAACACATAGAGTGATAAAGGCTAACAGTCCTGCTCAGCTTGTACTGCTGCGCTAGCTTGCTATGCCCAGTGGTTACATTACCAGTCCATGGTTGAAGGGGGAAAAGAGATGCTGTGTCATGCTGCTTTTGTTTGCCAGCAGTTGAAGGGTGGAAAGAACTGTGGTTCCCAATGCTGTCCTTGCTGTGTCCTTGTTCCAAAGGTGCAGATCAGAGGTCACCGTTCGCTCGGGTATCCTTGCAGAGTTAGAAGTCTGGTGCTAACTCGACTTGGTTCTCCTTGTTGTTGGCGAGTTAGTTGCAAACGTTGTGTTTGGCACACTAACTTCTCTGATCTTCAGGTTCTGTGTCTGCTGGGAGCATGCCACATTCAGGGAGAATCTATTGTGAGTATGCAGATGTGAGAGGACGGGAAGGATGTAGAAGGTCCTCCTGCCTACGTTCTACCTCCATGGAGGTTCAGGGGAAGAGAGTCTTCAGAGGTCTAGGAGCAGGAGCCCCCTTCAATGGTTAAGAGGCAAGAAAGAGATGGAAACAGAAACCCTCAGTTGGCTCGGTGACATCACAGAGTCACATGTCATTGTGACAGTAGTGCCCAATCAAGTTTGAAGACTGGTCTCTTACTCAGGTGTGACAATGAGGCATCCTGTGGAGATGAGAGCCAAATGGTAAATGGACCTGCACTTGTATAGTGCCTTTCTAGTCATTTGACCACTCAAAGCACTTTTTACACCATGAGTCACATTCACCCATTCACACATAGGTGGTCAAGGCTACCATATAATGTGCCACCTGCTACTCAGTCTTCTTTTAATACACTCACACACCGATGGAACAGCCATCGGGAGCAATTTGGGGTTCAGTATCTTGCTCAAGGACACATCAATATGTGGACTGGAGGAGCCACAGATTGAGCAGCTGATCTTCTGATTAGTGGACGACCCGCTCTGCCTCTGAGCCACAACCACCCCAAATGGCTATCGTTTGTTTGATGAACAAAGAATATATGGTCTCGGCCACCATTTCAGATGGCGGTAAAATAGTTTTATACAACCATCCATTTCAAAAACTAGATATATTAATGCTACAAACATGGTTGTGCTTCACTCTACCTCAAAACCAAAAGCCCCTTTGTGGATTTGTTCCTCTACTATATCTTGTGCTGTTGAATTCAAGACATTTATTGACTCATCTCATACTCTGTGGGGATCTATTTTTTTCTTTAAAATATAATTTACTACACCATATAAAATCTTTTAGAGGAAACAGAAATTGAATTACACCCATGATGCCTCTGAAGGACTTCACAGTGACTTCTTGTGTCCTGCAAACACACCTCCCTCCAAACCCACTTTCAACATCGATTGTATGTTCTGTACACTCATTTACTCACTGCTGGCCCACAACATCCATTACAGCCTCAGGCCTAATTTTAGCAATGTCAAGCTGCTTGACCCGACCTCAGTAATACAAATTAGACCTTAAAGCTTCTACAGTTACTTTTATTGTTTAGCTTTAACAGCGTTAGTATATGCCCCTTTCTCTTTTGCTTTCTGGGAAATTAAGTCAACAAGACAGAAACCCTGAAATGGAGGATTGTGAAACTGAAGCCTGAAAAGGAGTTTCAAAATGAACCTGGGAACCTTTCTACAGAAATGTATGACTGCTTTCTCTTGTCATGACATGAGCGGTAATTATGAGTAACATTTCAGACTGCAGTTGTGCAAACTTGTCCTGTTTTATAATGGTCATTATCAAACTGCAAATCAAGCCAAGTGTTAAGAAGGTATTTGTGGCAGTGATGGAAATGTTTTGCACTTCAGTACACAAGTATTTTGGTTTGCTGCCACTTTATAAAAAGTGATGGAATGTAACTAAGTACATTTACTTACTTCAAAATTGAGGTAGTGTTTTAATTTAATACCACATATGACTTCTTCCCACTACACTTCAGAGAGAAGTATTGTTCTTTCAACTCCAGTTATTTTGATTACTTAAGGGACGGCACTTTACAAATGAAGAGTTTTTACATAGTGCAGCAGAAACCATTTGTTGACTGATTAAAAAATGAATTAACAACTTTTCCCTTTAATCGTTTAAGTAATTTTTTCATGCAAAAAAAATGTAATGTTTTTTCTGCATTGAGTATTTTTACTTTTAATATTTAAATTCATTTTCCTGATTGTACTTAAACACTTTTACTTAAGTAACATTTTTAATGCAGGACTTTTATTAGTAACATAGTTTTTTTTAAGTGTATTAGTACTCTTACTTAAGCACAGGATTTGAGTATGTCCTCCTCCACTGTTTATAATTCTACTCAAGATATTGTATTTGTATTACTCCACTACTAATATTTTAAAGTTATAGCTACAAGATACTTTACACACTAAGATTTTACACACAAGACACAATCAGCTTCTAAAATATGATGCATTGTTACAGATTAATCAATAAAATAGTTCCACTTCGACCAACGTTAAAGTACTACTTACATGCCAGCCTCTTCTCATTCCCAGCTGGCGATAGATACAGATGTATAGAGGCACCTTTTGGGGCGGTATGATACATAATGACCGGCGGCTTTTTCTGAC